CTCTGTACTTTATGTCTCAAAATCCAGGAGCCATTCTGTTTCTTTAAGGTAATTTAGCTTGTAAAGATAACAGGTACATTAATGGGATATTGCTTTTATAATTTTAATTTTTGTTTCTTATATTTCCATCTTTTTGGGAAATAACTCATTCTTCCTCTCTTTCCCAAGAATAAGCTATATTTCTATTTCTCCATAGCAGTTAGAACTAAAATCCTTAAAAAAACAATAGGCATGTATATATATTTGTGATAACATGAAGCAGACGTATGGGAGAAGAAAAATTGCTGGCATTGCATCTTTGTTAATAGGAAATCTTCCTTTAGACAGGAGAAGAAAAAAAGATAAATTTCCTGGGTTTGAAACCAAAAAGAAAAGAATAGTGTTCCTAAGGATCTGGAATTGAGAAGTAGCCCCAGGGTTAATTATAGACAGTATAAGAGGTTTTTGGACTGGTTTTTATCTTAATGTGCTAGACTTAGAATTTGAATAGAGGACTCTTATCCAGACTCTTAACTCTGTGTGTATGTCAAGCTTAAGGCATCTAAAAATACCAGTCCACTTCTTTCCTAGCCTTTTTCCTCTCAGTAAATGGCAATTTCTCATTCTTTTAGTTGTTCGGGATAAAAACTTAGGAGACATCCTTGATTCTTCCTTTTTATATATGCTCCTAAGACTAATTCATTAGCAAATTCTGTCAGTCTTTTCTTCAGAACTGCTTCTTATAACTTCAACTTGATGATCCAAGCTACCATCATTTCTGTGCTGTACTATTGTAAAAGATTTCTAATGGGCCTCTTAAAACTTAGATCTATTCAGGATCTTCCAATGAAGTTCTTATACAGATAATAAATTCTTAAGGAATGATAGAATTAGAAAATCATAATTTTGTACTCTCATGAAATAATGGAGCTAAGCAGTGATTAGCAGTGGATGCAGAAATCATTTGATAAAAGGTTGATGGGAAGCTTTATAATGGATAAATTAGGCTGATAATAGCTGAAGCTACAGATCATTCTTAGAATCAGTAAAAGTAAGGCAGACAAAAATAAAATTCCTTATAATTTGGTTCAATAGCAAGTACCACATATGAAGTGTTCTTGCCTTAAAAAACTGCCCTCGGGGGCAGCCACGGTGGTGCAGTGGTTTAGCGCCGCCTGCAGCTGGGGGTGTGATCCTGGAGACCCGGGATAGAGTCCCACGTCAGGCTCCTTTCATGGAGCCTGCTTCTCCCTCTGCCTGTGACTCTTCCTCTCTCTCTCTCTCTGAATAAATAAATAAAATCTTAAAAAAAAAAAAAAAAAACAACACTCAGGGATGCCTGGGTGGCTCAGCGGTTAAGCGTTTGCCTTTGGCTCAGGGTGTGGTCCTGGAGTCCCAGCATCAGGTGCCGCATCCGGCTAGCTGCATGGAACCTGCTTCTCCCTCTGCCTATGTCTCTGCCTCTCTCTCTCTCTCTGTGTCTCTAATGAATAAAATCTTTAAAAAAAACAAACTGCACTCAATTTAAATCAAATTATTAGTACATAGGAAACAATAGAGGAAGCAAACAATACCAAGAGGAAAAAAGTCGGTCAAATCTAGGAAGTGAGAAATTCTCCAGGACAAATGACACAATTTCTCCAACAAATCAGTGGCATGAGAAAAGGTAATGGTGTAGCAAGGAGGGCTGTTATAGACTAAAAGAGGCCTAAGGGGCCTAACAAGCAAATGCAGTGTGTAGACCTTGTTGGAAATCTGATTTGACCAAATCATGTATAAAAAGATAGGGAGATTAAAATATAGACTGGCTGTTAGAGTTAGAGAAAGAAATGATTTTTAATTTTGTTAGGTGATTATGTGGTTAGGTTTTTTGTTTTTTTTTTTAAAAAAAGGTTCTTAACCAATAGAGATGTTAACTGAGGTAAGGGTGAAATAACATGTCTAGGATTTGCTTTAAGATACTCTACCAAAACACAAAGGGAGTTGTAGGAATAAGATTGGGAAAAAGGTAACTTTATAAGTAAGATGATGGGTATAAGATGCTTCCTATCTCTACTTTGGTATATATTTGAAAATTCTCATAATAAAAACTAAAAACAAAAAATGATAAATGCCAAAGACTGAAATATCTTTTGTGAATTCTCAGCTATTAAGAATAAACTCCAAAACCCTTTCCTGGCCTACAAAGGCCCAAGGACCCTGGGTGTTTCTCAGACCTTACTTCTTTCTCCTGAACTCCAGCCATTCAGGTCCCCCACTTACTTAGAATATACCAGGCACAATTTTGCCTTAGAACTTTTTGTGTTTGTCTTTCTTCTGCTTAGAATTCTTTTCCTCCAGTTGTCTCGCTGGTTGGCCTTATCATAGACTTGGAACAAAATTGTTCCAATTTTGCTTTAGCAGAAAGTCCCTAACCACCCTATATAAAATAACCTCCCTCTCCTAGCTACTATCTTTGCTTACTCTGAGGTATCTATTTTTTCATAGCATTTCCCATCACCTGATCATTTATGTACTTGCTTATTGTCATTCATTCCCAGGAATGTTAGCTGCAAGGCTACAGATTCTTTATCTGTTTACTGACAGTTGTATTGTCAGCACTTTAGAGCTGTGCCAGGCAGTTAGGTACTCAATAAATATTTATGAAATAAAAATATAAACATTTGAGGCCACATTTGATAAACAAGTACTTTTTTCCCTCCTCTCCTCTGTTCTACTTAAACCTTTCACTTGTATTCTCATCTATATCTAGAAATGAGTAGTAAAGGATTGCCAAAGAGCCTCACTCCTCATTGTAGAACAAAACTGTGAGGTAGAAAATACAAAACATCAGGGCAGTTAATTACAGGAAACAGTGAAAATGTTATATTCCAAATGTGTTAGCAGCCAATAATATGGAAAGCAGCCAATAATATGGAAGGATTTTAGTTTTCATTTCTTTCATTTACTGATTAAGTAATGGAGAGTTCTCTGAAATCTGAAATGGTACTTTCAAACAGTTGCCTTTCTAATTACTTTGAAAATGTATATCACATTTCTTGACTTTTCAGAAAAATCCCAAGATAACGCTATTCTAATAAAAAAATTTGCCCCTGAGTTTGCCAAGTTGAGTAGTTGCCTTAATCTATTAATGTAATCTTGGCATTTATGATAGTAGGAGATAATATATGCTCTTTGTCAATAATAAAGTCTCAGTCTATCTTAAGGAAAGCTGAAATGTTCTTTCACTTATTTTGCTTTTCTGTTTACCTTCCATTTTAATTGTTTTGGTTTGTTTTGTTTTTGTTTTGTTTTGTTTTGGTGTGTTTTTCCTATTAATTTGTTCTTTTGCCATTCTATTACATAGACTCATGTTTATTTATTAGGGAGGACTTTCGTTGTGGGGACGGAAATCCAGATCAAACTATCTTAAGCAAAAGGTAGAATTTCTTAAAAGAATACTAGGTTTCTCAACTACTAACCAAACCATGGGCAGAGTAGGAATGTAGCTGGTCCTTAGGGATGACTCAACACTATCAGAACATTCTTTTGATTGATTTCATTCTTCTCTTTACAGATTTTTAGATGCTTAACTCCTAGCACCTCCCTAGAGCTCTTAGGAAGATATTGTCTCTCTGCTCAGTTTCTGTATAACTGAATCAATCAAATGAGGTCTGGGGGTGGGCTATGGTCTAGTTTGGTCAGATAATCAGAGAGTCAGAGTCATGCAAGAGCATGAGCATCCTCACTATAATTAAATGTGGATAAAAGGGACAGAAAACAGACATTTACCACAGCCAACACCTTGGACTTCAACTAAAGTTAGGCATGGATCTGTGTATAATTGGAATAGAGCACAGTGCTGTGCCATCTAATAAATATAATAGGAAGTATAGTATTACTTCCCTTGGTTTGGACAGTGTACCACCTGGCTTTAGGCTCTGCTTCAGCAATGAAGTCACACTGATGGTTTATTTATTCAGTTACATCACTCAGTAAGTCTGGAAGGAGAAACAGATAAATCAGAGACAGATTCTTCATCCTGGGAAGAGAATGATAGTTACAAGAAGAGAGCATACAGTACTTTAAGCATGAATCATAATGCCAGAACACAGTGCTATTCCAAGGCTTAACTCATTTTTGTTTTTGTCTGAAAAATAGGGAAAATAGAAGAATGGGGACAACTAAATGATTAGAGAATTAAGATTATTTTGTTTGTACTGGATATGTTTCATAAATTAATAGGTCTGTGAAATGACAACCCCAGGATTCTTCTCATCTCTTAAAGCGATATTTTCTTTTGGATCCTGTCACATAAGGAAACCTCAGTGTGACTTTTGATCTCTGTGGGGGCATGGAAGTCTTCTCTTCCAGTAATTTGAGCAGCTATAGTAGGAACCACATTATAAGTTAAAGTCTTAAAATCTCCTGGCACTTCCAGTAGTAAAGGAGTTTGGGTACTTCTGCCCTATAACCAACTTTCATACTATAATAGAGGACATAGAGTTAATAGAATATGGACAGGTCTTTGGAGCAAATATAACAAAGGAGATTCTTATTTGATTACATGTAAATTTCACTAATAGGCACAGAAAAGAATGATTAAAATCTGTATGGGCATGGAAGAATAAAAAGCATCTAGCTTTGTATAAACACAAGACTACCATCTGGAGGTAACCCCTCTTGGCATATATCTTTTCAGATTTTTATTGTTTTGCATATATTTAAGAAAATTGAAGACATACTCTTACACATTTAACACATCAGTATTTTAACATGATACTTTCCTTGATATAGAAAAAATAATAAGGTAAATTTTTAAAATTGTATTCTGTTCTATGTAGTAAATACAATAAATTAATTTGTTATTACAGGTTTAGTAAATATTATATCAGTAGAAAAATACTGGCTGAACACTTTTAAACTTGTAATTTAGTTTGAAACTCTGGAAAATGTTTTTGTGGAAATGTTTTTATTCTATTATATTGGCTTGCTTTTAGTATTAATTGTGATTTTTAAAGCTTTTCTGTTTATCTTCCCAGATCCAAGTATTTTAGAACATGCTCAAGAGGGGAGCACTTAACTATAGAGGTGAGTAGAGTCATGAATCTGATTGGATGAAAGTACCTTCAGGAAGGCAGGAGGGACATTTTTCCTTTTGTTAAATTTAGTATGGATTTTTTCTATTTCAATATTATTGATGCTAGTGAAGAGGGAAAAAATTGAGGTGGTGGGGGGAGCGGTGAACAGGGAGAGGTTTGCAGAAGATTAAGGTCCTGTTCTTCTAATAGAATTGCTATTTCTTCTTAAGAAGTGGTGTTTTTGTTTTTTGTCTTTTTTTCACCCCACCTAATTCAGAGAGGGTATACTCTTTTAGCAGTTACAATGGCTCAGTAGGCATTGATTCTAGAGATAGATGTTTGACCTGCCCCAGTAGAGAGGTGTAGCAAGATCAAAGCAGAAGGCTGATTTTAAGCAACTCTACAGTATGAATCACTGAACTGCTTATTCTTTGTATGTAAAATATAATAGAACTTCCTCAGCCTCTGCTGTGTACCACCTACTTCAACATGCAGTTTATAAATATCATCACACATAATTTTTAATACAATTGTGTTGAATGGGTGGCAGTAATTCCATTGTATGGATGAGAATCAGAGGCTTGGACAAGTTGAAGAAGTTGGGCTTTATTACACAGCCTGTAAGTGACAAACCTAATTCCAGTCCCAAACTGCCTGGCTTCAGAGCTTGAACACTGTATTTCACTTCCTTCTATATTAAATAAGGAAGCATGTAAACCAGGAAACAGTTTTGTTTTTAAAACACAAATAAAAAAAAAAGTTCAAGATAACAATTTTAAATAATTTTAAGTCATCTCTATAAATTTTTGTCTTTTTTTTATAATAAATTTATTTTTTATTGGTGTTTAATTTGCCAACATACAGAATAACACCCAGTGCTCATCCCGTCAAGTGCCCCCCTCAGTTCCCGTCACCCATTTACCCCCACCCCCCGCCCTCCTCCCCTTCCACCACCCCTAGTTCGTTTCCCAGAGTTAGGAGTCTTTATGTTCTGTCTCCCTTTCTGATATTTCCTACACATTTCTTCTCCCTTCCCTTATATTCCCTTTCACTATTATTTATATTCCCCAAATGAATGAGAACATATAATGTTTGTCCTTCTCCGATTGACTTATTTCACTCAGCATAATACCCTCCAGTTCCATCCACATAGAAGCAAATGGTGGGTATTTGTCATTTCTAATGGCTGAGTAATATTCCATTGTATACATAAACCACATCTTTTTTATCCGTTCATCTTTCGATGGACACCGAGGCTCCTTCCACAGTTTGGCTATTGTAATTTTTGTCTTTCTAAACCTTTTGAATTCATTGTTTTCTTGATCTTTAAGTAATAAGGCAATGTTAACAATAAAACTTTTTTCCCCAGTATATTTAAAATACAAATATTTTTGTTATACAATTTAGTAGTAATGACTTCATCTGGTCATTTGACACAATAGTGTTTATCATATCATCATCAAATTGTTTACATCCCTAAGCTGTAAAAAGTTAAACTGTATTTGGAAGTAGTGACTACCATCTGGCAGATTTTTAATAAATAGTTAAATGAATGAGTAGATGAATAAACATTATAAGATAAATTTTTTAAAGATTTTATTTATTTACTTTTGAGACACAGAGAAAGAGGCAGAGACAGGCAGAGGGAGAAGCAGGCTCCCTGTGGGGAGCCTGATGTGGGAGTCAATTCCAGGATTCCAGTATCATGCCCTGAGCCGAAGGCAGATGCTCAGCCACAGAGCCAATCAGGCACCCAGATAAATTCATGTTTGGTTATCTTTGAAGTCCCTGTTTCTTGAGTAAATTCTCCTTCTTATGACATTAAATTTGTTCTGAACTCAAATGGAAAATTCTGGTTGTGGATTTAAAACACCCATATAAAATAATTCGGTAAAAGTTTTAGTTTATAAGTTTTAAAGTTTCTGATTTATGAAAAAATTGCTATAATTCTCCTTTTTATTTTTCATAAAAATCATAAATAACAGTATATGCTTATCTTGGCTATCTTATAGGCTTGTTGGGTATATCAACTAGTGTATGAAGGGACACATGACTCAAATATCTTAAAAGTATTAAGGTATATTATTTTTTAAGAAAAAAGGGACAATATTTTGTGAGATGTGTACCTTAAACAAATATCCTTTCTAACATTTACTTTCTTGTTCTTTCAGTTTGAGAATCTAGTAGAAAGTGATGAAGTAAGTATTTCCATAGTAATACAAAACCTATATTTATTCTCTTGAGGCATCCAATTAATTCTAGCAACTATTTTTAAAATTTTTATTTTATTGTCTTTTATTTCAGAATTTTTACTTTTTGGTTTTTATTTTTACTCTTTAGTCACTTATTATGTCCTCTTACTAATTTATATTAGCATATAATTCAGAATTTTCTCATATATAACATATATAATAATAGATGTATGGTATACATAGATTTATTAGTTTATTGCATGTATTATATATATAACTATATGTGTGTATATCATATTTTATTTATTTATTTATTTATTTATTTATTTATTTATTTATTTGTATATCATATTTTAAAGCATACTATAGAACTCAAGAAACTTTAAAGAGGGATATTTCTAACCTCTTGCCATTAGGCAGGTTAAATTCCTCAACAATCCATGATAGATCCATTCTTTAACCATAGTTTTCATAGGTTTTTCAGGGTAGAAGTTATACATGTCCATTCTACAATCACTTTCTGACTGTGGCCATTATCCTTTTAAACAGTTATTCTTTTTATTGATTTTTTTGCATTTCATCTCATTTAAAACTTAAATGTAAGATCACTTCCAAGTACAGATATGTGAAAATTTGAAAAAAAAAAAAAAGTATGGTTTAGAATTAGTGAAATGTGGTATATATTTCTTATGCACTGATTGTTGTTAGAACTGAATTTTAGTTTGTGAGCTAAGTTTTTTTTTTTAATTTAATTTTATTTATTTATTCATGAGAGACACAGAGACAGAGGCAGAGACACAGGCAGAGGGAGAAGCAGGCGCCATGCAGGGAGCCCAGCGTGGGACTCAATCCCAGGTCCCCAGGATCACACCCTGGGCTGAAGGCGGCGCCAAACCGCTGAGCCACCCGGGCTGCCCGTGAGCTAAGTTTCAACTTCACTAGACTAACTATATGAGTATACAAGTTACTTAACCTCCCTTGGGCCTACTTTATACAACCCTAAAATGAGTTCTACTATAAGCTCTGACCTTTTGTCACTTTTTGTTTTCTAAGGAAAGAGGAAAATGTATCAACCTAAATTTAAATTATCATTTAGCCCAGCATTTCCCACAGTGTGAACAGAATACTAGTCTCAGAATGAAAAATTAGCACATTAAAGCTTCTAAGAAGAACTATTAAACTGTTGAGAAAATTATTTAAATTTATTCAAGTTAACATTTCTCAAACTAATTGGGTATAAGTCCTTTTTTAAAACGATAATACATGTTTATTATCAAGTAAAATATATTTGAGAAACTAGCTTAGCCTTCTGTGTCCCAGTAAAATTTCTCCCAAATATTTCTTTCTTTTTTTTTTTTAAGATTTATTTGTTTATTTGTGAGAGAGAGAGAGAATGAGCAAGGGAAGAGTGAGAAGCAGGCTCCCTGTTGAACCAGGAGCCTGATGTAGGGCTCATTCCCAGGACCCTGGGATCATGACCTGAGCAGAAAGCAGACGCCCAACTGGCTAAGCCACCCATGGCCCCTCTCCTAAATATTTCAATGTAAAGAACCTAATTTCTTCCCCATTTCAAAAGTCACTTTAATTCCATGTATTTTTTAAAACAAGTATAAGCAAATACTTAACATAATATTTTTAAAGTTTCTAAACTTTAGAAGTGCTAAATGTAAGAGTTATTTCAACTTTTATTATGTTTCATTTCAGCATCACACTGCATTTTAAAAGAATGTGGTTTCATGTATTTTCCTTAAGATACTTTTTGTTTGGTTGAATATTTGTTCGCTTTCATTTTTACTAACCAGTCTTTTCCTCTTTCTTCTCATATTTTGTGTTTGGTTTAGTTGAAGATCATCTTGTTTTATAGTGCTATTTCATATCATTTAGAGTTTTATTCCTGCTGTTACTTGACCATGTATTTTAACTACCACATGTGAATAGCTTACATGTATAAGAAAGATATATAAGTCCAAATCAGTCTTGAAAATAGTTATGGTTTACTTTGGAGGAAAAAAAAAACTAGGTAATTTCATAACCATATAAAAAAAAAACAATTGATTCTCATTATTTGTAGTAGTTATGTCCTATAAAGTTGTCATAAATGCTGAATTAGTAAATACCAACTAGAACATTACTCTCAGGGGGAATAGAGAGTTAGATTCCTGTAAGCTTCTAGTCACAACAGTTTCATCAGCCAATCAGTAAAATACCTTAAGTTTCTTTTTGACAACTTATTTTCATATATATTATTGATTCATTAACTTTGAACTCCTGGCCAGCAGCACTATAAGTCATGCCTGAACAGAAGCCTGTCCAACACCGACATTTTCTCCCTTAGCCTTGCTCCAGGCTTCTTGGTACTAGGAACATTAGATAGCACTTCAACACCACACAGGGGAGTCATTTTAAACAGTGAAAACGCCAAGAAAAAGGACAGACATGCAAAAAAAAACCATGGTACTCAATAGACTGTAAAGACGACAGTGTGAGAACTGAAACGAGAAGGCAGTGCATCACCATCTCCTCCCTCCACAGGGAATATGCATATTGGACAACTTGAAGTTTTTGCTGTTCTGGGAAAGTCTTTTCATGATCTCAAAAGCACAGAGATTATTAGAGATGTTACAAATATGTTTTAACTCATAGGTGATTTTGCAAATATGGAATCTATAAATAATGAGGATCAACTGTGAATGATGAGAGCATAGAAAATATGTTGTCTAGTACCATCCTGACTCTAGGAATTTATTTGGTATAGAGTATATATTTATTTTTAAAAATTAAGAAATGTCCAATAATTAGTTGTTATATAATTAAGTTAGATATTAAATTTTGCTTTTGAGAAATAGTAAAATTTTAAAGTTTTTTGTTTAAAACATTTTAATAGTAAAATTTGTTTACTATGATAAATAAAATTTGCTTACTATGATAAAAGCAGATAAGCAGAAAGTATTTTGATTAAATAAAAATTTTATTGACTTACATAGAATTCAGCTAGAGAAATTTCTTTAATTGTTTAATTTTTGTACAGGGGGAAAGCCCAGGAAGCAGTCATAGGTAAGGCTTTTTAATTTTTTTTTTTAAACAATGTCTGTGTGAATAGGAGAAGCTCTCTAAGAATCGAGGCTCTATCATTTGCTTGCTGGAAGCATTGAATAATTTACATCTCAGAACTTTAATTTTCTCTTTCTGTAAGTTTGAAGCAAATAATAACATCTCAAAGTATTGTTTTGACCATTAAAGAATTTAATGTACTTAAGTCCCTAGTGCTCTCCTGTTAAACCTAAGTCACGTATTTTTTAGTTTAAAAAAAAACCCATTTAATATTAATAAATACATTTCCTTGAATTTTTAAAAGATTATCCCCTTTTCCTTCCTCATAAAATTCTAAAACTTGTTTTACTAACTAGGTTAACTAGAACCTTGATACTCTAATTTATTTAAGCTGCCTTTTCAGGTTCTTTTAAAATTATATGAACTACTTCAAAAAGAACCATCTGTCTTTAACACGAGAATTCTTAATATCAAGAGAATATTTTCATACACTGTTTTGTATTTTGAATGCATATTCTTTACCTTATTTAGTTTAGCAAACATTTATTAGGCAGTTATGTGGCACTGTGCTAGGCACTAAAATGAAAAAATCAAACATGTTTCTCTACATTAGATGGAAGAATATTCTGGTCTGGGAGGTAGTTTGTATAAATGACTAATGTCAACATAAGATGGAAGAAGAGATTAAATAGCAGTTCTAAAACATGCAAAGAAAACCTAAAGGAGAGACCATTTGCCCAAAATGTGTGAGAAGATGTATGTCCAGGCAGACTGCTTTAAGGAGACAACACTTAGGTTGATCCTGGAAGTGTTGGCTAGTGATAACCAACCTTTCAGACAGAGGAATAGAGCCTTTCTGACAGAGGAAATTGCATGAAAAATATGGGTTGACTGAAAAGAGGCACAAGAGAATTTTGTGAAGGAATGGATATGTTTGGATCTTGGAGTGTATGCAATTGCCAAAACTTAACGAACTGAGCACTTAAAATTTGTATTTTATTTTATGTAAGTTATACCTCAAAAAAAAATACAAAAACCTTGGCAGAAGTTAGGGGCTAGAGGAACAGAAGTAAGAGATATTACTTATACTGATGGTTAAAACCATGATAATGGTGATATCAAGATTACCTACCTGAGATTGGGAACAGGAGGAAGTGGGATGGTTGGAGCATGGAGAGAGAGAGAGAGCAGCAGTCTGAGGATTGAATAGGCAAATATCATAAGAGGATTCTGAAGACAACCAAGACTCAGTGAGCAAAAAGAAGTAATCATGGAAAGCCAAGGGAGGACATAAAGACAAACTGGCAGACGGATGGAATGGAGGGAATGGCCAACGCTGTTGCATCAAACTAAAGAAGATAAAAACTTAAAAGTATCTACTGTATTTGGCAACATAGAAGTCACCTTTGCTAGAGTTATTAGAGTTGAAAGCAAAGAAAGACTGCCAGGAGGTAATGAGCAAATGGGAGATAAGGACATAGAAAGTAAGATAAGCACAGAAGAGCAAGGAGCCAGACTACTTGGATTCACATCATAGCTTTGTCACATATTATGTGACTTATTGGACACAATCTGTCTTCACCTCATTTCCCTCATATATATCATCTCTATATCTACCTGATAGTGTTGGTGTGAGGATTAAAATTAGTTAATATGTGTAAAGCACACAGAAGAGAACCTGACACAGTAAGTTCTAGATGCACTATCAGTGTACATTTAGTTTCACTAAATGTGAAGGAGAGATGGAGCAGTAGCTAAAGATAAATATAGGTCAAAGGAAGGTTTTTTCTTTCTCCTTTTTTTCTTTCTTTCCTCCTCTCTTCACATGAAAGAGAGGTAAAGACAGATAAGAAAAAGTAGGCTAACATGAAAAAGAAGTGCTAAATGACAGAGCAATGTCCCAGAGAGTTCCCCAGAGTAGGGGAGGGAGGGTGGCATCAGTGGTGAATGAATTAAGAGTGTAAGTGTAGCAGATGACCTTGAACAAGTTGAAGAATGCCACCTCCTCAGAGGATGGAGGGAAGAATAGAGAGAATACTTAAGTAAGAAGAGGAGTGGCAAGAAGTTGAAGGAGTTGGTGGTTGATGCTCCCCATGTCTCAAAGTGGGGTGAAATTGACTTCTAAGAGAAGAGTTTGAATGAGAAACTTAGCATACTTGAAGATTTGAAATAGCTACCTTAGGATGTGAGAGGGAGTTGACTATGTCTAAGAGATGGGTTATTGCTAGGGAACAAATAGATGTTAGATTTTCTCTAGCAGCTCTCAGGAGAAAGGGCAAATCATGGAACTAATCCAAGGTCAGAATGTAAGCTGGGTGAAGAAGGTATCATGATAGGAGTACAAAAAGGTGAGTATGCTGGTAAGAAAGTACTTCAAATTTGCCATGGTGTCCATGTTTATATGTGAAGTGTGGCACGGTAGACTAGGAGAAAAGGGAAAGACCAAGGGCCTGGACTGGCCAGAGTGATTGAGCAGGATAAATAGAGGGTAATGAGTATGAGAGTTAAGAGTCCCAGGATGGTAAGAGGGTTATCAGAACATAGCGTACTGAAGTTTATACTATATGGTGAACATTTTGGGATATGGTCAGATGGCTGAAGCAGAGCCAAAGTAAAGGTAAATGGAGTCCACATTTCCTAAAAGTGGTTGTAGTGCTAAAAAATGCTCTGATAATATATCATTCTATTCAATGTATATGCTAAATTATGGCAAGTGTTAGAATGTATGTCTTTTTACTCTTAACCATTGAAATTATAGCATTTAATACATTTTTGACAATAAAATTTTAGTATTTTTCTGGTTGATGATTTTTTTTTTGGACTTGTACTCATCAGAATTTTTTTTCTTTCTTTCCTTCTTTTTTCTCCCTCATTTTTTCTGTAGGCCTCTTACTGAGGAAGAAATTGTTAATCTAAGAGAGAGGCATTATGATTCTATTGCTGAAAAACAGAAAGATCTTGATATGAAAATTCAAAAAGAGGTAAATAGTCTTTTATGTTGCTTAAGTATATGTTATAAAGCCTCTGTTTATACCATGGAGAAAGTTGTCATTAATATAATGTATATGGACAGTCACTGGACCTGTATTTAGATATTATACAGACAAAAATTATTTAAAAGTAAAAAAAAATCCTAGTCCTTTATAGTTTGTTTTATTTTAATTTATCAGAAATCATGCTACCAAAAATGAAGATAATACATTCTTCTAAAACCTAATTTCTTAATTCACAAGTAGAATCTCTGGCAAGATACATGTATTTTTGTGTTTAAAACCAACTTTTAAAAAGTCTGTTTCACAATAAATATTTTTTGTCTTTTGTCTTTTTGTTTATCTTGGGCTTATTTATTCTTAGTGAACCATAACTATAATCACAAATGTTATATTTATTTTAATGTGTTTATGGGAATGACCTATAATTTAGTTTTGCTATTCACTAAATGGAATTAGTCATATTCTGTTATACATTTAAGAGTAGCCTGTTAAGTACCAATTAGTGATTTCAACAGCATTAATTTAAGCTATGCAGATTTAGCCTAATAGATATTAGGCTAAAGAAAATGTTGAAATTTTATTTTTAAATTTAATTTGATGTGCAATAGATTATCACTAAAACAGTTTGTATGCCATTATGAGTGGCAAGAGTTTAAATTTGAAAGTGATTTTTTAATAGCTTGATAGTAATAAAATTCAGGATATGTACATCAGTGAGACATCAACTTTGTGAAAGCTTACTTCACTTTGATAGATGGTGATATAATTGGCCTTAGTTTAAAGACCGTGGACTTGTAAGAGCCAACACCATTAAACTAGTCAGGAGGATAGGCATTGGAACATTTTTGAGAATAAAGATCACTGCATATTCTAAAGGAAGAAACAATTTTGTATTTCTGCAAATGAAATGCTACTACTTCATCATTAATCTTCTAAAGAGTTCTATAATATGTCTGGTATCATTTGAATTATTTTGTAAAAGGAGAAATTGAAATAAGAAGTCACAAAAATTTCAATTCTATTATGCTTTGTAGAGATCATTTATTTTTTAATAATTTATTTTTAATTTTACAAACATTTTTAGAGCAGTTAGACAGGTTCTGGTTTTTGTTAATCCTTATTGTTTTGTTCATGTACAGTTAGCCTTACAAGAAGAGAAGTTAAGACTAGAAGAAGAAGCTTTATACGCTGCACAGCGTGAAGCAGCCAGGGCAGCAAAGCAGCGAAAGCTCTTGGAGGTGAGGGGAAAAGACCCCAACATATATTAAGGCTGCTTTTCTCCTGATTTTCTCTGACAAATCTTAGTTGAGACTTTTCCCCCTCTAGAATCAAGGGCTTCTTGTTTAACAACAAATGCATTTATGTATATATTCTTAGGAATTTTAAAGGCAAATTAGCTTGTCTTTAACAACTAAAAATAACATCAAAGTATATGCTTGATATGGAATGCTGTTTAGCTTTAAATTAGCAGAAGCTAATTTTTGTTTATCCCAAAGATGAAATGTAGCTTTCCAAAATCCAGTATTTGGGGAAAATAAATATACTCTTAGGTGGAAACATTGCAAAACTAGTCTTTAAATATAATTTCTACAGCATTTTTTTAGTTTACTTTTGTGAGTATTTTTTTAAACAATTCCTTGAACTGCTGGAATTTCTTATACTTCTTTGAATCCGGTAAGGTGGGCAAAATGCCTCATTTTCGAATATTGTGTATTTCTCATCTTTATTCTTGTGTCTTTGAGAGACTTGGAATTTGAGTTTTTATTTTATCTCACCATACTATCTGCTAGTATGGTATTACTATAATACCAGATCACAATTAAAAACATGCATTTATAGTATTACTGTTTTAATTACTTTACGTTTTACTTTAAGCCTTACAACAATCCTAGGAGATAGGTATCATTTTCAGTCCTCATTTTATAGATGAGGAAGCCAAGGGACAGAGATGTTAAGTAACTTGCTTAATAAGATCCTATAGTTAATAAGTGGTAGAGCCAGCATTCAAGTACTGTGGTGCTTAGCCAGTTCTCCTACTCATCGTTCTCTATATTTTGCCTATGTGAACTCTCTGCTGTAATATTCACTGAAGTAGTACAAAGATCATGTCACTTAATAATTACTGTAATTTAGAAAATAAAAATCATGTGTCATATTGCTATGAGTTTATATGTGACCTGTGCCCTTTCTCTCTCTTCTTCTCCCTCTTCCTGCATTTTGATTAATCTATTTTAGCAGATTAATTAGATTACATGGGAGAATGGGGTCTTTGTTTTGTTTTGTTTTTTGTTTGTTTTTTTTAGTTCTATCTAGTGGAAAAATTTAAAAATTTAAAAATTAATTCACCTTCTAAAAAATAAAAATATTTTTCTGGCTCATCTCTTTTTACTATTATAAAGTCTCTACTGCTCACCTTTGAAAGACAAAAGCAGTCCGGGCAGCCTTCTCGGGTTCCCACTCTCTTTGGGAGTTTTGTACTGTCATTCAATAAACTTTACCATCACTCAATAAACTTTGTTTTGCTGCTCTTCCCCCCCAAAGAGACAAAAGCATTCCATATGCAGCATCTATTTGGGTTCTCTGAGTTTTTCCAGAGTTGTTTTTCTTCCCTGACTAAATACTAATGCAAGAACACCTAACAGTCTGTACAACATACATTTGGCACACAAAGGTATACAGATATATGTAAGTTCATTTGATTTTCACAATAGCCCCATGAGCTTGCTATGGCAGTATTATAGCCTATCTATATTATCTCTATAATTTACAGATGAAGAAACAGAAAGTAAAGGATATGCCACCAATACACAAATGATAACTGTCAGAGCCCTAACTATCTGACAGGTCTTCTAAATCCTTTGCTTTTATTATTTCTGAGTCAGCTCAGCCAGGTCTTCTGGATCTTTTGTTTTATTGCTATTTATTTGAGCCAAAATAGAGTTTCATATGCTGTTTTAACAAGTTTTTTCTTACCCCTCATCCTTCCAGTTATTAGATGTTCTTAGGTATAATAAGAATGTTGAGTACACCAATATATATCTGCTTTAAAAGTTATTTTTTAATAACACTGTGAATATTCTGACCCCTCAAGGATTATACACTGAAAGATTGAGAGAAATTCCACCCATAGATAAGAGGATATAGAAATGAACAATGATATATTTAAGGAAAAAGACTTCAATAGAATAACTTAAAGTTTGGTGGTTTTTTTAGGAACTAGAAAAAAATACCTTTGGGTGTTGCATGAATGATGAATGATTTTTTAAAGTATAACTTTACAACAGAGTGATTTTGTATTGCATTATGTTTCCAAAGCAAGAAAGGCAGAGAGTTGTGCAGAGATACCATCCTTCAAACAATGGAGAATATCAGAGGTAAATAGTGAAACATATTACTTCACTTTGTGGTAGAAAATGCTATTTCCAAAGAGAGCACAATTCAGCTCTGGGTGTTTATATACATACTATGTTTGTGTGTTCCCTAAAAAAAGAGACACTACCTTGTAAGAATGCTGAGAACATTTGCTCTCTTAATATAGGAAAGTGATCATTATTTATTTGAATTGATTTCATTGCATTTTTTAGAGTGGTCATATCTTCTATACAGAAAATGATGCAAAAAAGAAAGAAAGAAAATGATGCAGTAACACATTGAATGCCTTTGGATAAATTGCTTATGCCTTGCCTTGTTTGTGTTTTCCTTAACATGTCTCATTTTCTTACAATAAAGTTTATATGTGACATTTTTAATTTTATTTATTTTTGTAAATGTTTCAACACTGTTTTTTCTTAAGATTTTATTTATTTATTCATGAGACATACAGAGAGAGGCAGAGATATAGGCAGAGGGAGAAGCAGGTTCTATGCAGGGAGCCCGATGTGGGATCCGATCCTGGGACCCCAGGATCACGCCCTGAGCCGAAGGCAGACGTTCAACCGCTGAGCCACCCAGGCATCTCTGTGATCGTTTTTTAAAAGACACATTCCAGAGTCACATTTTACACTCATTCAAAGAAACTTGTTCATGATTCATTATTGTAAATTATGAAGATGGACTTATTACTAAGCTTTGATGTCAAGATTAACCAAAATGTTATCATTTTGAGTTTACTGCTAGCATTAAGAAAATTAAGATCTATTTTCAGTAGGTTACTCTAATTGTAATTATAAACTTGTATGGAATAGACCTTCAAACTAAAATGCCATAAATTAACTTAAGCATGCATTATGTTGTGTCTACTATGAATATATTTCTTTTACTTTAATTACAGTTCAGGACCAGAAGATGACTTTGAATCTTGTTTGAGAAATATAAAGTCACAGTATGAAGTTTTTCGAAGTAGTAGTAAGTTTCTTAAAATATATGCATATATTTTTTTTACTTTTTGCCATAGTAAACAGATAATTGGAGATTCTGGTTCTGTTCCTATAGAAGAACTTCCTTGCCCTTTAAATTTGTCTTTTCTAGATAGGTCAGTTAACTCATCCTTAGTTATACAACTTTATCTTAACTTTTTAAAACATTTTTATTTTTTAAGTAGGCTCCACCCACAGCGTGGAGCACAACGCGGGGCCTGAATTCATGACCCCGAGATCACGCCCTAAGCTGAGATCAAGAGTTGAACTCTACGCGACCATGCCACCCAATCACCCCTTTCTTTCGTTTTTAAAAGGGAGTTGGAGCAAAGAAAAACCTCAGGCTATTGCTGTAGATCTGGATGGAGAATCAGGCACTCATTTTTTTTCCCATTTCTACTCTCCGTCTCCCCCTCCCAGAAAAAGAGAAGGTGGGAAGTAGTACAAAAGTGTACTTATTTTACTTATTACAAATTGATTACAAATCAATTTATAAGATTAAAGTATTTTTCTCTAAGTATCAAAAGTCAGAACTCCTGTGCTTCCAATAATGGAAGCATAGTTGTGGTTTCTCTTGAAAACAGACTATTTTCATTTTTATTTTTTCATTTATTTTTTGTCCCTTTTTATAATTGACTATTAAAAATATTACCTACAGTTCATTATATTGGAAAAGTTTATAATTCATTTAAATTTGCAATTTATCATGCTGCATGACAAAAAAAAATAAGAAAGGGGAAAAAAGCCTTATATTGTTCCTAACAGAAACTTACCAGTGTGATGATTTCAATGATTGTTTCTTTTGAAACAATTATCTTTATAAAATAAATGGTTGTGGTAAAAGAGTACAAATGACCACATTATATTTGGTGTATGTCCTAGGATTGTCATCAGATGCCACAGTTTTGACACCAAATACAGAAAGTAGTTGTGATTTAATGACCAAAACTAAATCAACAAGTGGAAATGATGACAGCACATCCCTAGATCTAGAGTGGGAAGATGAAGAAGGTATTTTATATTCACAATTTTACCTGAAAATTTTAATCCATGCTAATCTATAGAAATCTACTTGATGTTTTAAATTGAAATGAGTTCAGGCCTTAAAAATATCAGTATCAAAGTTTCTTAGTCTCTTACTGTATTAGTGATTATCATGTTAGTAAATGGTTTAGAAAGTTCCTTAATTCTTAGTGTTTCTTGAGCTTTAGAAAATAAATGTTAATTTTTCACTTTAAGGTTTCTGTAATCCAGCCCAGATTATTCTATTACTCAGTAAGAAGAATTACTGCCCCCTTGTGGTCAAACCTAAAGCCAAAATTTTATTATCTTTTGGTTCATTATGAATTAGCTGTCTGTTAGGGGTTTTCTTCTGTAGTTCAAAAGCTATAACACGGACATGGGTTTGAATTTTAGCTGGTATGTCTTCCTAGCTGTAGTACTTCAGTAGATTTCTTATTCTCTTTAAGCTACAGTTTGTCCAGCATAAAAAGTTAATAATAAACCTACTTTAAAGGATGATTATTCACCGTTGTATACCCAGAGTCTAAAATTCCTGACACGTAATAAGTAGTAAATAGTTGAACAAATAAACATCTGAATGTTGTGAGAATGAAATAAAACTTATATAAAACACCAGGTACAAGGTGTGCCACATAGCAAGAACTCAAGAATTGAGTAGCTAAAATGTGAAGAATTGTAGCTAAAATGTGGATTTTTTCACAAGTTTTCATTTTTACTTTAAGAACTAGGTAATCCATGAAAATGAAGAACGAATTACAGAATGTAGGACTTTAAGAAAAATACTAAGCATTAAATAGTTCATAGAATTTTGAGATGGAATGAACTTTGACTAGTCCTCTAGTCAAGCCAGTTCTTTTATCAATAAAGAAACAAAGATACAGGGCCTTGAATAACTTTACCAAAGCTTGCATTAACTTATTTACTTACTTAAGTCTTCTTCTCAGCTAAGCACTGTTTCCACAATCCTGTACTTAAGTTATTTCATATCTGGATCCCAATCAGCAGACTTTAATAAAATTTATTTATTGTAGCATCTTGTTCAGTTTGATCTTTTAGATCTTTTAATTCCTGATTCTGTCATCTACACTCTATGCTAATTAGATTTGTAGATAATATGACTTTTGAGGTTCTTATTCAGATTGTTAACACAGTTACTAAACTAGAATAGGTAGAGGACAGAGCCTACTACTAGAAACCTTCCCTTAACAAGGCCTCCATAGGACTGACTCTTCAAGTAAATTTGCAAATCAAGTCTGATTGTTAAATAAATATTATTAAACTGTAGTCTCTTAATGTAGCTTTTAAAATTTTCACTGAGATTCTAATAACTCTTTCCAAATAATAGGAATGAATCGCATGCTTCCAATGAGAGAACGTTCCAAAACAGAGGAAGACATTCTTCGAGCAGCACTTAAGTATAGCAGCAAGAAGACTGGAAGTAATCCTACATCAGCCTCTGATGATTCCAACGGGCTGGAATGGGAGAATGATTTTGTTAGTGCCGAAATGGATGATAATGGCAATTCAGAGTATTCTGGATTTGTAAATCCTGTATTAGAACTGTCTGATTCTGGCATAAAGCAATCTGATACAGATCAACAGAAACGATAGGCTAAAATCATATGACCCTGTTTATTAGTTGTGACCAAATGTTAAAAGCCAACTAGAATGTATAAACGATTGTGCTGAGCCTTTTTGTAAGAGGGAGATAAGAAACCATGTTGTAAGTGCTTATTAGAAAGGAATAGAAATGATAGGCTATATCTGAGTTGCTTCAGAATTAAGTGCAATTTCATCATCTGCCTTCTGCTTTTCAAAAACAATTTAATGGTTCTGTCATGTCATCAATTAAATTAATTTCGACTCTTTGTAGCATTCCTGTTTACTATTTGTAGATTTTCACTTTTAAAAATAGTTTTATTAATTTTACTTTGAATGCTTTCTTAAGCCTATTTCAGTAGTTGTGAAAATGTTAAGGCATTTTATGTTTATTCTCAGCAGACGTGAAGGGAGCATGAAGACCATCTGCCAGATCAGATTTATAGTGGTGTTCCCTTTTCCACCTATTCCAGCATTATCTATTCCTATGACTTATTTAAATTTCATTATCTAATAGTAAGCACAATTGAGTAGATGACCCTAAAGAAATGCTGAAATATCCGGTTTTTTCTATACTTACTGCATATCCTAATACAATAATGATGATTTAGTCTGAACAAAGGATGTATGTGAAAATAAGCTTTCAGAGTTCAGACGCTTGAAGCTAGTAATCAAAAGTAATATTTAAGAAAATATATATATTTAGGTTTTTCACTTCCTTTTACATGCTGCCACTATAAATGAATATTTACTTTAAGTTAATTGATATATTAAATTTCTAGGTGTTTTTTTAAATTCTATATTTCCGATGAATGGTCTTAGAAAGATTTTACACAGAACATTCTCTGTGCATGACTTATTAAGAAAGGAAACCTAAAAATGCAATACGGGTATTTCAAAATAAAATCCTTTCTGGTGTGAAAGGATTCATTGATTTTATTAAGCTTTCCTTTGCCTTGTAATACAAGGTGATTTAATGGGATGGAACTAAGTCTATCAATAAATATAACTGTATTCATGATGTACAATGAACTCTTCTTTTCCCTAAAGTTTATGTATCACTTTGAAGGCCAAGGCTATAAAGCACTCCCTAATTGCTTGTCTTAATTTTGCTGAGGATTGCATATGATCTTAGTAAGTAAACTGTTTTCTGATTTTTCCTTGGTGTTTTTTTTTTCTCTTTTTCTTGCAGCAATGACAGTGCATGTGCTCAAAAATATAGGAAGGTCCAGATATAAATAGTAACTTAAAGTTCCTGCTGTACTTAAAAAAAAAAAATCATGTGGCCCTTTCAATATTTGAACTGCTAGGCAATGACATCTATAGTTTCATCTTTTTTTAATCTCATAGAAATAAATATGACACTTTAAATATGTAAATATATTAGGTAATGCTATTATTTATGACTGTCTTAACATGATTTAAGTTGTAGCTTTGTCACTGGAAATATTTTAAAGGTAACCTATATTCACATTGCCTGTGTTATGCTTTTTAAAGTTTGTATACATCAGATGTATATTTTTGGTTTGGCATAAGCTACTATTGTAATTTTTCTTGGCATTTTGTTCATAAAAAATTTTTTGAAGGAATGGTAACTTCTCAAGGATTGTGAATAAACACATTTTTACATTTAAAAATAATAAATTATTTGATTATTACTAGTTTTGCTCTATAAACATGTAATAATTCTGACTGATATAGGAGATATAATTATTTTATTAAATCTGCTATGAAGACAAAAGGAGTGAATTAGGAAAGCAGGATAGAACTAAATTTGAAAATGTGATTTAACTGCTAAGGAAAGATACTAATTTTCTTGTTTTATATATTTATAAAAAACACTGGATATAACATTTTTTTATTCAGCAGATATTAGAGAATGTACTGTGTCTGATAGGGTTTTAGGGACATAGTAGTAAAAAGACATACGATGTACAACCTCTTTTGCCTACAGTCTAATAAGAGAGACAAGACAGCATAATAACAAATAAACATATAAATAAGAAAACCACAGAATACAACTAGGAAATATACAAGATGATAAGAAGCAGGATAGCTGGGGACCAAGTGCCTACTTTGGTAGGTCAAGAGAGTCTTCTCTGAGATAACGTTTGAGCTGAGACCTAACTGTTGAGCAGGAACCAGCCTTAACTTTAAAAGCTTGGTGAAGCATGTTTATAAAGCTCCTGAGGTATAGAGAATATTTACTATGTTCTGAGAATGAAAAGACCACTGGGACTGAAGCATCGTGAGCTAGAGTAATATGAAATTATTTTGGAAGGGTATTTAGGGGCCAGATCATGTAAGGTTTTGTAGACCATGGTTAAGAGCTAATTTTATTTGATGTGTAAAGCCACTGACTTTTTTTGTAAGCCAGAGTGTTCAGTGATCAGATTTGCATTTTTAAAAAATTCCTCTAGCTGCTCTGTAGAGAACGGTTATACAAGAGGACAAGAGTGTATGTATTATGATACTTACAATGGGACGTGGTGTGACTTGAGTTGATAATCATGATAGGAATGCAGAGGTAATAAACCTCAGAGGTAGAATTAACAAAATTTTCTGATGGGTTAGATATGGAGGCAAAAGAAGGGGTGAAATCTAAGATAACTAGGGGTAATGCATCCAGCATGGTACCCTGGCGACCTTGCTCACTGCATACCTATATAGCAACTCTCAACCATACTCCAACCCAAATCTTGACAAAGCCCTGTAATCCTCCCTGGACCATGGCAAGATAGGCAGTCTTCGAGATGTGACAATGCCATTTATCATCAGCTCCTCTGTCTTGCAGAAGGCTGCCATGGGGCAATTTCTTATCCAACTCCCTGGTTCTAGAGAAGCAGGGATTTCCACCTCACTCCCATTCACTACAGATATAATCGAATAAAACTGCTTGGCTGGAGTTTAGAGTTGGCTCTTCAATAACAGAGCTACCTTCCATTTATGTGTCATTTGGCCTCCCTGGTCCAATGTCTTAGGGACATCTCTAGTGACCAGGGATGTGGGACACTGACTCCATGCTGATTTAGCTTTTGCTATCTGTGTAAGTAATAAACTAAGTCTATTCGAGCTCATTGGTCTTCTTGCTGGTTAAACCTACGGAAATGTGACAGCCAACCTAGCAGCTACAACTATGCTTGACAATAACTTAGTTTCTAACTTAATAAATATAGTGGGAAGAACAGATTTAGGAAGGTAAAGGAAATTAAGAGTTCTGTTTTGGAAGTCAAATTTGAGGTTTATGAGAAATTTGAATGAAGACATCAAGACAGTGATAGGATATATGTCTGTAGTTCAGAAAAGGTAGAGATACAAGTTCAGAAGTCATTAGTAGGTAAACGGTATTTTAAGTCATTATACTAGGTAAGATCACCCTGGGGAAGAATATAGGCAGAGAAGCCCAACTAAGTGTTGATAGTTAGAGGTCAGGGGTAGAGAAACAACCAGAAGAAACAGATTCAGGAGGGATGCAGAAACCAAAGAATGTGCTATTAGAGGAACTACTTGTGACCATGTGCCACCATATAGAGTGAGGAACATGGAAAATGAGCCAATATGCATTGAGGGGCAGAGCTGAAGGCATCTTAATCCCCAGCCACAGCCTCTGCCTGAGGTTTCTGGCACTCCTCCCTTAGAGTAAGCAGCCAAAGAATAGTTCTTTCCTTTCTTCAGAAAGAGTTTCAAAGAACATGGTTACAGAATTAAACTTTGACTTTATTATATGTAAGGGTGCTGTTAAAATTTCAGATTCATGGAATTTAAAAACTGTGTGGTACATAAAAATCAATTTAATATTTGGTGAGAAAACTGAAAAAGAATTCTAAACATAGCAATGGTTCATTAAAATGTCCAAAATATTGGTTTTAGATGCTGAATATACATAAGGAGAAGTGTATTTTTGGAAATAAACACTATTATTCTACAGAAAGGAAATCATAGCAAAGGTATTATTGTTCAAATAAAGCTTCCATATTAAAACCACAATGATTCATAGACATTGCTCCAAAACACATTACAGTAGCACTCCAGTACTGCAGGTACCAACAGGCTACACTGCCAGTAACAACCTGCCCATAGCCTTGACCTTGAAAACAAATGGCTGCTTGTGAAATAATATGACCAAACCAAGAGATGGTTCCTTACAAAACAAAACATAGAACTAAAAGCAAGTATAAAAAGAAAATAATATAACCTTGAGAACACTATTCCTTCATCATCAAAGGTACTTTTCGTACATTAGCCCTCACAGATATATACTCAAATACACTTAAACATTCTTCATACATCTAGGAATGCAACAGATGACTAAATCAATGACTAATACAATTTAAAGACTTCAAAATTATAATAAGAGATCCCAAATTTGACAACAGATGACAGTAATATACTAATAAACTATGAAGTCTCTATAAAACATTTACAGTTTTCTTCATCCTTCATGATTCTCCTCTTAGCTGTGTTCACAATTCATTTTCATCCATTTCTGTAGGAGAAGTGTTTTGGGTGAAGCAGGATGAGTAACTGCCATACTCAGGAATGGGCTTCTGTATTGGCCAGTTGTTTTCTTGTAAGAGTGATCTTGGAGACAAAATAAATTGAGTTTCAAAAAATTCTAATGACTCTCCATCTTCCTTCTCTATCAGGAACTGATACTCACCAAATCTGACCATGCACTTGTAAGGCAGGTCTATTTTATTTAGGTAACACAGCTCCTTGTTGTCCACAAGCAGGTTGGTCTTCTTACTCATATTTTTAATTTCAAAAGAGAGAACTGAACTATCAAACTTTTTAAACAGCTGCAGAGAAAACTGAACTCGGGAAACCTGTTTGTCCTGAAAGGTGTAACGACAGATGTTGGAATTTCGGCCAAATTTCACTACTTCACTGGAGGGAAGTTTTTCTCGGTTATAAAACCTTATTGATTGGAATATTCCATTTTGCAGCTGGCCAGGATGGTAAACAGTTATCTGGAGACAAGTTACTGTCTCTTCTGTGTCAGCATCTTCAAAATTGGACATCATGTGTTTCAGAATCTGATCTGCCTGTAATAATCAAAACAGCATGTTAGTTTACTCCCATTACTTCGGGCATCAAAGTCTTTAATTCTAATTCTTTGGTGAAAATCTTCTGAAAGGTGATTTATTTAGACTTTAAGAAGACAATACACAGAATACTTTCAATTAAACAACACAAATGTGAAATTTTACACCAACTCCCATGAGGTCTGGTGTATTAACTTTTTCTATCTCTATTTCTCACTTCTAGTTTGACAATAAGACCATACATAAAATCTGGACAATAATAAGGAATGCTTGTCAATAACAAAGTGATTTGGCAGGGGTATAAAGAAACATCAGTTCCTTTCTCATTTAAATAGAGTGACTTGGCCCAGAGAAAACATGACAGTTATATTTTTTAAATCAGGAATAAATATCTTTGGTTTGAATGCCCTCAGAGGATATACACATAAAGAAAACCTACAGTTTATTAACTAGATTATAATTAGATATATTATGAATTTTAAATCCTGATTAAAGAAATTCAAAAATTATAAACAAATAATTGCAACATTTAAATATGCTTTACAGCCTCACTTAGATTTCTAGTAGGTAAAGGATTAAATATAACAAATGCTTAGCTAAGATAGAGAAGCAAGCTAAGTGTCTATCAATAGATGAAAGGGTAAAGAAGATGTGGTGTGTACACACACACACACACACACACACACACAGGAATATTATGCAGCCATAAAAAAGGGATGAGATTGCACCATCTGCAACAACTAGGATGAACCTAGAAGGTATTATGCTAAATGAAATAAGTCAAACTGAGAAAGACAAATACCATGTGATGATACTCATATATAGAATCTAAAAACAAATAAATAAACAAATAAAAAGCAGAATATGACCTGCAAATACAGAGAATAAATTGATAGTTGCCAGAAAGGAGAGCAGTGGGTTGGGCAAAATGAGTGAAGGGGAGTGGGAGATAAAGGCTTCCGGTTACAAAATGAGTAAGTCACAGGAATAAAAGGCACAGCATAGGGAATACAGTCAATAATACTGTAACAGAAAGGGAGACAGAACATAAAGACTCCTAACTCTGGGAAATGAACTAGGGGTGGTGGAAGGGGAGGAGGGCGGGGGGTGGGGGTGAATGTGTGACGGGCACTTAGGGGGACACTTGACGGGATGAGCACTGGGTGTTATTCTGTATGTTGGTAAATTGAACACCAATAAAAAATTAATTTATTAAAAATAATAATAATAATACTGTAACAGCATGGTATTGTAATAGATGGTAGCTACACTTGTGATGAGCATAAGTATAGAAGAATTGAATCACTATATTGTACACCTGAAACTAATTTAACATTAATGGAACATTGTACAACAACTACACTAAAAAAAATAGTAACTATTTTTTTTTTTAAGATTTTATGTATTCATTCATGAGAGACACAGAGAGAGGCAGAGACATAGGCAGAGGGAGAAAGAAGCAAGCTCCCTGCAGGGAGCCGGGACTTGGGGCTTGATCCCAGGATTGAGGATCATGACCTGAGCCAAGGCAGATGCTCAACCACTGAGCCACCCAGATGCCCTAGTAACTGCTTTAAAAGTTTATTTTATAATTTTAAATTAGATATTACATAAGTTAGTTCTATAGTCTGCACTCCTACTGGAATTATTTACTTTTATCAATTGTTCCTAATGACTGGACAAACTTTCATTAACCACATTCTAACTGCTGTTAAGAGTTAACAGCATCCCTCTCGAGCTCTTGGCCCTGTGGTGCCTTCCACCTACACTTGCTTACATGTATCTTTAAAAATCAGTGGAGTAAAGTAGTATTACAGGATCATTAACAAAATCTTTGAGAGATTATTCTGATACAGAACTGCCATTCAAAACTAATTTATTTCAAAAGAATTAAATGCACACAATTTAAAAATTGATACAGTAAAAAAAAGGATTTTTAAAAAGAGTATCTTCTCAGGATGCCTGAGTGGCTCAGTCGGTTGGACTTCTGCCTTCAGCTCAGGTCATGATCTCTGGCTCCTGGGCTGGGCTTCCTTCCCTGCTCACTGGAGAGACTGATTTCTTTCTCTCTCTCTCTCTCTCTCTCTCTCTCCCTTGGTCCCTCCCCAATAATGCTCATTCTCTCTCAAATAAATAAAAAAAATCTTAAAAAAAAAAAAGACTGCCTTCCCTCCACCCCAATCCTTCTAGAGTCAACCACTGTAAAAGTTGCTTTTATTCTTAAACAAATCTTCTTTATACAAGCATAACTATGGGTGTGCTCATAGACGCAAACACCTGTTTCTACACATAGAGAAAAATTTTTCTTACACAAATAGGAATATACTATATTTAGTTCTAGACCTTGCATTCTTAAATTAATAATACAAATAGGTGATTTGTTACCATATCCACACATACAGACATGCCTTATATTTAAACAGCTACACAGCAGTTGAGCATCTACCTTCAGCTCAGGATGTGATCCTGGAGTCCTGGGATCGAGTCCTGCATCAGGCTCCCTGCAAGGAGCCTGCTTCTCCCTCTGCCTCTGTCTCTGCCTCTGTGTGTCTCTCATGAATAAATAAATAAAATCTTAAAAAAATAAATAGCTACACAGAATTCCTTTAATCTAGCATGGTGATAAATTACACCAATAGAGTGATGCTGAGTATTCCCTGCATTCCTTAAAAACTGTTTAGGGTCTGGAAATCAATAATCTTAAGTGAAGTTGATTTGTGGTTTTGTCTGCCATCTATATTAGATGTTAGTATCAGAACTATTATGCCAGTTTAAAAAAAAACAGAATGCTTTCCTTTTATTTCTATGCTTGCTATTTACTTTTAGTATATGATCTTTTCTCCTGTTTTGCAAAATTATGGTGCTATTTTTTCTTTTTAAAAATTCTTTAGTAAATTCAATTTAGTTAACTTATACTGTATTATTTATTAGTTTTAGAGATAGAATTTAGTGATTCATCATTTGCATATAACACCCAGTGCTCATTTACATCAAGTGTCCTCCTTAATGTTCATCACCCAATTATTCCTTCCCCTACTTACCTCCGCTCCAGTAATCGTCAGTTTGTTTCCTAGAGTTCAGCATTTCTCTTTTTATTTTAAAGATTTTAATTATTTATTTTTACAGAGAGAAAGTGTGTGCACAAGCGGGGGATGGGTAGAGAAAGACACTACAGGGCTCCCTGGGGGTTCCATCCCACAACCCTGGGATCATGACCTTAACCGAGTGAGCCACCCAGGTGCTGGAGTTCAGCATCTCTTATGCTTTGCCTATTTTCATCTTATTTTATTTTTCCTTCCCTTCCCCTATGTTCATTTGTTCTGTTTCTTAAATTCCACACGAGTGAATGCTAAAAATCAAACTCGATTTATTCAATTTTTCAACAAATGTTATAGCTAAGCAAAATTCCTTTTTTACTGATTGGGAAATATATCTTTAATTTTAAATTTACTTTTGTCATATACTCTTTTTTGGACATTATTACTTCATATCACATTACCCAAGCAGGTAAGACATGTCCAACTAGAAGCAGAAAATGTGAGAGGAACCCTCAAAATCATGGGCCAACAATGGTAAAAATTACTATGAAACCAAGGCAGAAAGAAAAATCACACAATAGGTAGAATTGTGATTTGAAGATACTTTTTAAAAAAGAATTTATTTATTTATTTATTTATTTATTTATTTATTTATTTATGAGCACAAGCAGGGGGGAGCGGCAGGCAGAGGGAGAGGGAAAAGCATGCTCCCCACTGAGAAGGGATCCCAATGTAGGGCTTGATCCCAGGACCCTGGGATCATGACCTGAGCAGAAGGCAGATGCTTAACTGACTGAGCCACGCAGACACCCCTGAAAATAGTCTAATTATAATAATGAAGTCTCATTATTCAAGAAGCTGACAACATTAAAGAGAATACTTATAACAAATCATCAGATGATACAATTAATGACTGACAAGAAAAGAATGAGCTGTTAACAAGTAAAGAACCTAAAAAGGAAAGGCAAGAATCTGTCAGTGATCTCAGGTTTATCTAGGAAATACTGCCATCAGTCTAGTTCATTCTTGGACTTTGGACAATGACAGTTCCAAAAGGACAACTGGATTAAAAACCGTGGTGCAGAGCAGCCCAGGTGGCTCAGTGGTTTAGCGCCGCCTTCAGCCCAGGGTGTGATCCTGGAGACCCAGGATTGAGTCCTGTGTTGGGCTCTCTGCATGGAGCCTGCTTCTCGCTCTGCCTGTGTGTCTGCCTCTTCTCTTTGTGTGTGTGTGTGTCTCTCTCATGAATAAATAAATTAGGGGATCCCTGGGTGGTGCAGCGGTTTGGCGCCTGCCTTTGGCCTAGGGTGTGATCCCGGGGACCCGGGATCGGGTCCCACGTCGGGCTCCCGGTGCATGGAGCCTGCTTCTCCCTCTGCCTGTGTCTCTGCCTCTCTCTCTCTCTCTCTCTCTCTCTCACTGTGTGCCTATCATGAATAAATAAAATTAAAAAAAAGAAAAAAAAGATGAATAAATAAATTAAAATCTTTTAAAAATATATAAAAATAAAAACCATGGTGTATTCTGGACACAGTTTTTTGGTAACACCCAAATTTTGTTTTCTATACTTCATATAACCAATTAGCTTAGAATTCATTCTTTTTGAGCAAATCTACCACCAAGAAAAGTTTCTCTCATACAAGTTCTTATGCCGAGTTCTCAGGGTAGATATATTATTCATGTAAGGAAAAAAAAACTGGCATTCTGGTTTATCAAATCAGTGATTACAAATATCTTGGTGTGAATCAACTCTTAGGGTTTGATAAACTTTTGGGATCACAACTGTGGCCCTCCAAAAATACTGAGGTAGATGGTAAAACTGTCAAATACTTGCTGCCCTTCCCTACCAGGCCTACACCTACTGGTTCTGCTCCTTTAGAGAGATAATACTTCCCACCCCATTGACAACCATGTCAATGAAACATGAATAGAAGTGACACAGAAGCTTATTTCCAAGCAGAAGCTTTGAAAGCCACTGTGAGGTTCCACCAATCTTCTCTGCCTCTACCACATTGGCAGTCCCCCAAAGCAGCTCAGTCTCCATTCCAGAGGGAAGAGCCAAAGACAGAACCAAAAAGAACATGTAATATGAGCAAGAAATCAAATCAAATCATTAGTTCCTGAAACCTAACGTAGCCTGGGCTGACATGCGTTCACCTAGCCAATGAAGGTATGAAATGATTGCAAATCCTGACAGTTAACAGGGTTACTACTTACTGTATGCCCTTCACATGCCAGGTACACATATTGTCTCATCTTCAAAATAACCCTATGAATCACCACTTCACAGATGAGGGAGCTAAGTTTTAGAGGGTTAACCTGGGCTACTTAGCCAGGTTACAAACCCAGGTTCAAAGTCAAGATTCAAATAGAACAGAAAAACACCCTCTCTTACCCACAACAAATAAGGCTCCCTGTTACCAGTTACTCCACAAGCTCTAGCAGTTAATCTGTAGAGAGGAGGGCCATGCAAGCTTACTAAAACCAGCAAGACACCAACCTAGAATCTAGTGTTCGGGAGGGAAATATGTTGTTACTGCTGCCTCATAAGAGAAAGAGGCTCTGCAGCAGCATGTTACTGTATTAGTTATCCCTCAGTCTTTACCTATGGATGTTAGCATGGACCCAGTACTCACTAGTAATTGTTTGCAGGTTGTTTGGGGAGCTCCAAAATTGAATAAATCATGGTCACGGTCTCTAAACTCAAGGAACTGAGAATCTGTTAGTTTCCAGAGCTGCAAGTTCCCTTTACAAAGTGGCCTGAATCTCTGCCATTTCTGAGTGGTCAATAGAAAGACAGGAAAGACTGAAACAAACAAAACAAAAAACCTAAAATAGGGGATGCCTGGGTGGCTTAGCAGTTGAGCCCCTCTCCCTTTGGCTCAGGTCGCGATCCTGGAGTACTGGGATGGAGTCCCACATCAGGCTCCCTGAATGGAGCCTGCTTCTCCCTCTCCCTATGTCCCTGCGCCTCTCTTTCTCTCTCTCTCTCTCTCTCTCTCTCTCTCTCTCTCTCTCTCTCTCATGAGTAAATAAAATCTTAAAAAAAAAAACCTAAAACTAAGATTGGTAGATCTTTTTTATAGATCTTTTTAAAAAAGAAATCACTAGTGTACAAATGCTAAAAGGCAGCTTTTTGAAATCTGTTTGACATAAATTATCAAAGACAGAAGAACAATGAGGTTAAATACGAGTAACAGTGGTTACCTTGGGAGAGGGAAACGGGTCAGGGGTAGAAAGAAGGCTGTTCATTGTATACCCTGTATCTGTGAAATTGTATACCATGTGTACTTAATATCTAACCAAACATAAATATTTTCTTTACAAAATTACAAACCATGTGATTCTTATGGAATTACATGGAGGTGGAGATTAGCTAAGTATTGAAATGAGAAACTGTGATATCTGACATCAAAAAATTGTAAAATAGGGTTCGCCTGGCTGGCTCAGTTAGTAGAGCATGCAACTCCTGATCTCAGAGTCCTGAGTTCTAGCTCCACGTTGGGTATAGAGTTTACTTAAAGAAAAAATTGTAGGGATCCCTGGGTGGCGCAGCGGTTTGGCGCTTGCCTTTGGCCCAGGGCGCGATCCTGGAGACCCGGGATCGAATCCCATGTCGGGCTCCTGGTGCATGGAGCCTGCTTCTCCCTCTGCCTGTGTCTCTGCCTCTCTCTCTCTCTCTCTGTGACTATCATAAATAAATAAATAAGAAAGAAAGAAAGAAAGAAAGAAAGAAAGAAAGAAAGAAAGAAAGAAAGAAAGAAAGAAAGAAAGAAAGAAAAAGTTGTAAAACATTGTGGTGATATCTGATACACAGTAGCATCTACATTCACAAATGAACTACAACAAATAGATAAATATATAGAAATAAAAATGAGCCCCCGCCATCAAGAACTTTACCACAGAAAGCATAATACAGAAGGTGAGTGCTCCATCCTTGAGTGTCAGAAGAAGAGTAAACCTCTCCTTTGCTGGTTCCTCCTCTCCAAGGAAATAAAGGATATATATGTATAGAGGTGTTATGTGCAAAAACATGCTCTCTATGCCTGCTCACACTCCCACACCCCCCATGCTTACTACTCTCCCTCCACCTCTCTATCTCTTACACACACACACACACACACACACCACCCACCGCTCCCAAAGTTGGGCAAAGCCAATAAAGAGATGTGATACCCTAACATTGCAAAAAACTGTTTGAACCTCAACTGTCATGAACAAAAAGATATTTTTGCTCAAAGGAGGAACCAGGTGTCCAAGCAGTTTAACAGAAAGTCTGGTGCCCCTGGGTGGTCATGCATGCCAAGAGGACTCTCATGCTTTAAGTTTGTTTTTTAAGATAAGATCTACTGCAATATTGGAGTGTGTTCTGAGCAATAGTTAGGAAGTATCTAAAAGTTTTACTTTCATCCCTCCTCAGCTCCCACTATCAATAATCTCAAGAGAAAGTACGACTTTTGTCTTGTTGCCAGTAGCCTTTTTTCAAAGTCTCTCCCCACCACCAACACTCAACACTGAGCTCATAGGAGAGAAGAGAAACTCTGAAGCACAGCAAAAGACAGGGCACTCCTCCTGACCAACCTCCCTCCTGACCAACTCCCCCACACTGGGGTCATCACCCCAGTGTGGATTGGAAGACATCTGTGAACTCTACTACTGTTCAGCAGAATCAACTCTTAAATAATAGGTTTTGGAAAAAAAAAAAAAAAGGTCGTGAAAACCAAAAAGAGCAAGGTAAAAACCATGAGAGCGCTCACTTTTTCCCAAAGACTTTGTCTTCTTTGTCCCGCTCTGTCTGAGGAGCCTGTACGCAATCAGATTTGCAGAGTCCAGCTTCTTCGGTGGCTGGGGACATCCGCTATGAGGTACAGCGTGGGTTCTGGCTTCCGGAGGATTTGGGAAATTCCTCCTTTCACTCTGAAAGCTGGGAAGTCCCAGAAAACAGCCGATTACCCTATTTTTCTAAGGAACAGCTAAGATAAGGAGGCCAGGGCCGGAAGACCCCGCAGCAGAGAGCTCCAGGGAGCCCGCGGCCCCGTAGCCAAGTCCCTGCAGGTGGAAAGGGGCCTGGGGGACGCCCGGGGGTTCACGCACCATTGCTGTGAGCTACACTTGATAAATGGAATTATTTTTTGTTTTCTGATTGGGGGGGGGGGAACACCTTGCAAAGCACAGAAAAGCACAAAGAAAACACACCCCGTCTTCTGGTATTTCCTTTCAGTATTCCCCCCATCGCATTTATAAATATTCCTGAATTTTATAAAGCTGGGGCCGTGCTGCAATTGCTCCAGCGCATCCGCGCGCTGGGCCGGCGGGAGCAGGGGGTGTGACTTTCTACAGCGCACCCCGAAAGACCCCTACACAAAGAAAGCTTCCCTCTCGGGGCGATAAGCAGACCAGACACCCTCCGCACTTCACCCCCAGACCGCAGCCCGCCCGGATACCTCGGGGCCGGGGAGTCGGTGAACTGGCTTCCCCAGAGCGGCTTCGCCTTTCCAGGCCCCGCACGAGACTACAGGGGGCCTGCGCGGAGGCTGGAGTCCGCCGACCGTCGGAGCCCCCCGCGCGCCCCCCGCCGCAGCTCCAGGGGGCGCCAGAGGGCGCCGGGAGCCCGGGGAGGGGGCGGGGCCGAAGCGGGGGCGCGGGGGCGCGGGGGCGCGGGGGCGGCGGCGTCCGCGCCGCTCCTCCCGCTCCCGGCGAAGTGCGTCCTCTAGACGCCCCGAAGCCTTTATAAAGGCCAGAGCGTGGCGCGGCGGTTCTCAGGCCCCGCCCCCCCGCGCGCCCCCGCGCGCCCCTCCCGCTCCCCTCCCTCCCCTCCCCTCCCCCCTCCCCTCCCCTCCCCTCCCCCCGCCGGGTGTGCGAGGCTGCTGACGCGGGGTGCGCGAGAAGCCCAGCCCCCTGACCATCTTTCTGAGGTTCCAGGCCAGGTTTGAAGCGCAGTAAAGCTGGCGAGTACCTTACCTCCCCAAACAGGTGGCCCCTCAAAAGGATGTGGCTAGTGAGCCAGAGTTTGAAAAGGGAGCGGAATCGCCTCGGCGTCCTGTCCCCGCCCTGCGCCGCCCTACCTCGAGCGTCGGCCCGGGACGGGGTAGGGGTGGGCGAGGAGCTGAACTGACTTCCTAAACGAGCGAGGTGCACGGCCTGTAGGATTTCATTTAATCCTCACGGTCGGGAGAGTGGGTCCCCCTTACGGGTGAGTGACCTGCAGCCCTGAGGGTGGCTAAGTGTCCGGTTGAGCAAGGGCAGAGACCGGGTTTGGGGGTGCCGCAGAGCTCCTAGTCAGCACTCACCCTACACCAGAGCAGTCCAGGGCTTCCTCCTCCGCCCCATCCACCGGGAGGCATCTCTCACTCATCATCCAGAGTCTGGGGTTCCGCACGTGTAGGCTGGTGCAAGGTGCACTGAGAAACACTTAACCCGCCCAGGAGTCCCTTATGGCCTCCAGTGAAAAAAGTAGTAGTGTTTTTCTGCCTCAGGGAGAAGGTTCGGAATAAACTACAGGTGGAGGAACTTAAAGACAATCAGTGTCTAGAACGGGGTACGAGTAAGACTGTATATCGAGAGTGAAAGACTGAGGAGAGAGGACAAAGCTAGCAGGGACCAAGGTTAAACTGGCCCACTTACCTCAGAGCTTCGGAATCTACCCACCAATTCTGGTAGGTGTCAGGTGGAAACTACTCATCTGTCTGGATTCTGACCCTGATTTGCAGGAGAGTTGCTCCTTTGCAGGTCAGTTTCACTGGCCGTAAAACGACATTGATACTTGCTACTTCCCCATCTGATAAAGAGATTCTTTGAGGGGGTTAAATTTTGACCTCTCAGAGTTGGTTAGGTATAATTAGGAACCATAAACCTGAGGAAGGAAGAGTATAACTACAGAGGAAGCAGATTCCTGTAAGGCTGCAATTTTGTTTGTTAATCATCAGCATTTATTATTTCTTCTCTGGAGTGGAGATAGCTGGAGTATCTTCTTTCAGCTGAAGAACATTAGAGCATGTAGAAGGTAAGATACACAACTTAACTATACCAATAAACCTATACAATAAAATAACATTATCAGAATTGTAGTTTCTGATCTCCAACCTTTGATATTAAGATTTGAAAATGCTTTATAAGTGGCAAAGGACTAGTATACTAGATGCTATTAATAGCACGAATAAAGAAAATGCAACAATTGCCAATATTTATGATGCTGAATATTATTTCATTTCGCTGTTCCCTTACATTATTCCTAGGCTACCGATTTAGGAAGAGATGAAAAGGAACCTTCAGGGAAATGGATATCTCATAAGTCAGGCTAGAATTGTTTATCAAGTCAAAATAGAAGAAAATAATAGGCAGATATGTTATTGATTCTGAAAAGAGTGATTTACTGTTTGAACTATCCGTGATGAATCATTTAATGTAAAAATAACATAAAATGCCCACAATCTAGTATATTTTTACATGGAAAGAATCTTAAAAATAGTTTTAGATACTTTCAGTAGCCCATAATTTAGCAGATATACCTGAAAGCCTATTGCATTTCACTAAGATCGAAAAATAATTTGTGGTAATACAGTCACACCTTAGAGAAGGAAAAAAAGAAGCATTGCTTGTTTTTGTTGCTTGCTGGTAATTGGGTTATATGAAACCCACCTTCTATTCAATACACTCTAACCCGCCTGGATGCGCTCTAACTCTCCACTGCCCAGCTCAGATGCTCAGATTAGGGGTAACTCAGCTCAAGAGTGCCTCACTCCACGGCTGAAGCTCTCTACCAACCTATGAAAATACTTCAAATTCCTTGAAACAACTCACTTAACTTTTTCCATTATTCTCCAAAGGAGGGAGACAAGTGGATACCCAAAGTGTTGAGATTGAGACAAAGGAAAGCTAGTGTGGACTTCTCTTCCTCCTCCCTATTCCTGGAGTCAAGTGACTATGATTAAAATAAACAACTTAGATTTATGCGGCAAGATCTGCGAGATGCACTACTAAAGAAAAAAAGTGCTGAACAAAGATGCTGCCATTTGTGAGGGGGAAAAAAAAAAACAACCTGTCTGTAAATGAATGAACGAACTATCTGCAAAGAAAGCTAAAAACAGAATGATTAATCTGAGAAAAAGAATTTGGAGGGAGAAGGCAGCTGATCCATGTGGGGAGGTATTTTTCACTATGTGCTTTTTCATACTATTTTGTCTCATTTGCATGCATTATGGTTACACACACAAAAAAAAAACCCAGCTTTTAAAAGAAGAGCCAAGTAACAGAAGCCTCCCAAGAGATAGGTTTCAATGTTCTAATGCCTCAATATTTCTCAAAAGGTGGAAGGCTGCAGTAGAAGTCAGGTTCCCAAGAGTGTGGTCAGAAGGTAAGGTTGAAATTAGAGCCTGTGCTCTCTGAATGGAGCCTGTTTCTCACTCTGCCTCTCTCCCTCTGTGTCTCTCATGAATAAATAAATAAATAAATAATCTTTAAAAGAGAAAGAAAGAAGAAAGAAAGAAAGAAAGAAAGAAAGAAAGAAAGAAAGAAAGAAAGAAAGAAAGAAAGAAAGAGAAAGAAGAAAGAAAGAAAGAAATTAGAGCCTGTGAAGGCAGGGCACCGGATGGTGGAGGAGGAAGAGTCAGCCTGTTCGGGGCCATCTGTTCTGCGCCTCCCTGGAGGCAGTTGTGGGAAAGTTCCGGTGGTAAGCAGGGTTCTAAGATAGCCCCTAAGATACCAACCCACTGGTAAAAGCAATTTATATAACCTCCTCCCCTTGAGTGTGGGCAGACCCTGTGAATATGATGGGATATCACTCCTATGAGTGGGTTTCTAATTATTTGTTTTTGAGAGATAATTCAAAGGGAAATTATCTAGCTGGGCTGGCCCTAATCGCATGAATCCTTAAAAGGGACTGAGCCCTTCAGAAAGGGAGAGACACACGGCCCAGACTGACCAGGAACTGCCTATGGAAACCACTTGGCAAGGAACAACAACTAAAATTCTGCCAACAATCTGAATGAGGCTTGAAGGAGACCCCAACCCTCAGATTAGAACTCTAGCATGCTCTACTATGATGGGCCCAGACTTCTGACCGACAGAAACATAGAAATAATAAATGGGTGCTGGGTTTTTTTGTTTTTGTTTTTGTGTATCATAGAGCCTTTATTATTTTTTCCTCTAAATTTTTAAATATTATATAACATCCATGTTTGAGTTATGATACCATTTACAGATATTTAAAATACATCTTCATGGGGCACCTGGGTTGCTCAGTTGGTTGAGCACCCATTTTTTATTTTGGCTCAGGCCTCGGTCTCAGGGTCATGAGATTGAGCAGTGGGTCAGGCTCAGCGCTAAACAGGGAATTCGCTTGTCCCTCTCCTTCCCCCTGCTGGTCATGTGTGCTGTCTCTAAAAAAATAAATAGAATCTTTTTAAAAAATAAAATGCATCTTCATTTAGAAATATTTTACATTTTGTCTATAGAACAGATAATTGAATGAGTGCTGCTTTAAGCTGCTAAATTTGTGGTAATTTTTTATGCAACAATAGAACACTAGTATAGTTTTTTTTTTTTTTTTTGTTAGAAGATCTCAGTGGTGGGATCCCTGGGTGGCTCAGCAGTTTAGTGCCTGCCTTTGGCCCAGGGTGTGATCCTGGAGACCCGGGATCAAGTCCCACGTTGGGCTCCCTGCATGGAGCCTGCTCCTCCCTCTGCCTGTGTCTCTGCCTCTCTCTCTCTCTCTCTCTCTCTCTCTGTCTCTCATGAATAAATAAATAAAAAATCTTAAAAAAAATCAGTGGATTATAAGAGTTCCCAGTAGATCCTGGTACTAATAACCCATTATGAGATCTCGTAGCTTTGTAAACAGGAAAAGGGCTAGTTTGGGAGGGTTACATTATTTCTGTCAGATATCCTCTAAACCAAGTAACTTAATCTTTCTTGTTCAATCTAAATTTTGTCATATAGTACTCCTTACTGGTGTAATTTTTAGTAAAAAGTAAAAATCCAAAAACCTCCCCCCTCCTTTAGTATTACTGAAGTACTTACTAATACTTACTAATACTTACTAATACTTAATATTTACAATGCATTTGTTAGTGCTTCTTGATTAATTTTTAAGATTTAAGGAATCGCTAGCATCCTAACAAATAACATTTTATACTACTAACGAGGGATCAGAAGCTATACATTATTTAATTTATAATTCAGTGATTTTATTTTCTCATAAAAAAAATGTTGCCTTGGAGAAATGCCATACTTGGAATAAGTTCTCCATCTATCCTCTATTTCTAGTTTTTTTTTTTTTTGATGTTTACCATAATTGCGCTTCTAACTAAGTACAGAATTCTGGGAAGAAAGTTCCAGAATGACATTCTGGCCATGTCCCCATAGAAATGTCTCTGTTACTTGCTGTTTGTGGCCTTCAAGTTTATTATATAATTAATTATATAATGTAATTAAAGGGTAAAGTTAGTTTTGAGATCATCTTGCTTCAACCCTGAAATAACTTCAGAAGTGTAACCCCCTCTGAAAGTAGGCTCCATGTGCATATTTTATTTAACCTAGGCTTAGATGGAAAGGTTCTCTTTCTACTCTACTTATTTCTTTTTTGTATTTAAAAATATTCCACCTGCCTTCTGCCACCACTTCACTGATTTTGTTCCTGTTAAAGCTATCTTTGACTTAACTATACTAGCCAAGCCAGTGGACACTTTTCTGTCCTCACCCTTTTTCACTTCTCTGTTCCATTTAGTGCTGTTGACCACTCCCACTTTGAAATGGAGCCCTAACATGAGTTTGTCTGTTGATAATAGATCAAAAACAATGCCATGTTCATTGCTTCTTACTGACATTCTCTTTCCTTGGCCCTCAGAGGACTGTCTCTCCATTCTGACTTAATTCAAATAAGGAGTTTCCTTGGACTTTGTTTAAAAGAAGAATCTTCTCCGTAGTAATACAACTCCCAGAATACATCTCACCAAAGCCATCCCTAAAGGGGTGTGTCCTATGGTGCAAAACTGCTGAAAGTCCCAGAGTTGAATTACACAATCGGATTCTGAGACAATGACAGACTGTTTTCTCTCAAATTTCTGCTTCCTGAAACCGAGGCTGTTTATGAGAAACAGTGTATTTCAGGGAGATTGTGCTAAAATTAACTGTTTTCAGAGTTAGATTTGCTGGCAGCATAAGTGCTTACTTATCCTTTTCTTCGAGACAAAGGTGAGTATCAGCCTTTAAATGACAAACCACAGATGTGGATACAAAAGATGATATAATGTATAGACAGTATTTTTTTGAACTGTGACCTTGTTTCTAATTCCTGATCTTGTTTACATTTAAATAACTTTAGAGCTCTAAGAATACTTGCACTTCTAAAAATGCCACAGAAAGGGGGTGAAGGTTGGGAAGAGGAAGGACCAGTAAATGTAGATTTGTAGGGAAAGGAGAAAAAGACCTGTTTTTTTTTTTTAGAAGATGTGGGGATTTTTAAAGAAAGTCCTATGTTAAGGAGCTTGCTACTGGACACCTGACTTTGTCACTGAATCAAGATGTTTGATTAAACCATTAAGAGAGGTAGGCTCACTTATGTGAAAAAGTAACCTGGGACTTTTGCCTCAAGTACATATGTAATCATAAGAGAAGCCTTCACTTGTATGATGACCTCAATGATTTTTCCAGGAAACAGATAAGAGTGGAGAATTACTCTTTTCATATGGGGAAAACTGACAGGAATTCTGGGCATGATGAAGCATTATGTACACAGAAAGGATCTAGAAAAATTAAATTCTTTCACGCTTTATGCAAAAGAGTCCCTTCGTTAACACATTTTTTTTATGTGAAATCAGGGCTCTAAATCACTTTGGAAAGCCACAAATTATGACCTTTAAGATAGTTTGGGACTTGCAGGTGGGTGAGAGTGCAGAGGCAGTAGTGTCAGGAAGGAGGGAATTTATGTCACAACATAATGGCACCTCTAGAATATTTATTTCTATCTCCCTCTGTCTTTTCTTTCTACTTAGTGCAGCTACTGTTCTTATGAGAAGCAATATCTGCTTTTGGTTAGCTGATACCTCATTGTTAAAAACATTTTAAATTCCTTAACACATAATCACTGTTGCTGTTCGAGTCTCTGCTGTTGTCTCTATGTGATGCTTCAGCATAGTCTCCACCCTCTTTAGTTTTTCCTCTTTCCTTCTTGGCCTCAAATACAATTGAATTATATAGAGCATTAGTAATTGTACTAATAGAAGCTGTGCACCTCTTTCTAGATGGGGTGTCATCAGATTACATGTCTGTATGGTGAGCACGATTTTGGGTCGGGGTGGATATAGATCAACTTACCACCTGAGAGACACACCAACCAGACCTCAACAAATGCCAAGTCAAGCCGTTATATCCACTGATCAAAATAATTTACTTCTCTCTTTCCACCTCCTCCTTCCAAACTCTGTCAACCTGCAGCCTCAAGAGAAACAAAACATTTAAAATTATTCTAGCAATAATTTACTCGCCATCTCAAATATCTTTTGAATCCAAGATGAATGAATTTCCCAAGTTCTCTCCCAACAAGACACCAGAATTTTATAGTATCCTTCACTAGCATGAAGGATGGCTAGTCATGTTAGGGTGGCTGGTGTTGGGAGCAACAAAGAATTTTACAAAGAGTGGGGCAACAAGCAAGGGAGAGTTTATTCACTCTCCAAGGGAGGATAAGGGCCAGACATCAAGAGAGATGTTAGCCTGAGTTTCTTTTAGGCTGGACCTTTTAAGGGTTTTTTTTTTTTAAGATTTTATTTATTGATTCATGAGAGACACAGACAGAGAGGCGGAGACACAAGTAGAGGGAGAAGCAGGCTCCATGCAGACGTGAGACTCGATCCCAGGTCTCCAGGATCTTGCCCTGGACCGAAGGTGGTGCTAAACCGAGCCACCCGGGCTGCCCCTTTTAAGGGGTTTTGAAGGATTGTGAGAGGGTTGAAAATGTGCCTCTGAGGAGGAGGGCGGGGAGTTGGAGGAAGGGGGCCAACTATTGGCCAGGTAGAGCAGGAGGTGACAGGTTTCTTGAGGAGCTCTATCCAGGGCTTGTCCAGAATGGGTGTTGTGGTCAAGCTAGAGAAGAATATGTTTTGTAGATGGGGTCTATTTTCTGAGAAAAAAAGAGTACCATGACCTAGAAAACAAAGAGTTATGGCCAGGTATAAACACCTGTGAGTTTTGTCTATAGAATTGGCTGGGGAGGGGGCTTTGATTAGATTCCTTTCAAGTAAGGAGCCAATAATTGCTTTAAACTTTAAATATATGTGTATTTTAAAGCCATATGTAAATCATGATGGATGTTATAAAATCTCACATAGAATAATACTGTGTAATGAACACACTTGACATATTAAGCATAATAATCTCCACTTAAGTCCTATGTGATCTAAGTTTGGGTTTAGAACCTTGAATTTTCTTTAAGAATAAATGTATTTACTTCAAAATATTTCTGAAACTCCATGGTTCCTTCCATTCCAAAATAATTTCACTAACCCCTTTACCCCAAACACAATACACATACTTCTTTTTCATCTCTTTCAGATGATGATGGCTTTTTAGCATAAAATGTTTATTGAAAATGTTTTCCTGAAATGTTAAGAACCCGTGTTTTGAAGAATTATAATAGGGATGTACATTCAAACTTTTGTTGTAAACTCATTCCATATTTTTGTTATTGTATCTATTGCTTCTCTATATGGGGGAGTCTTTGTTTCTTGTTGACAGTGACATTGATTTTTGCAGGATGTTGAGATTTCCTGTGTTCATAGAATTCTGTCAGATAGACAAATTTAAAAGAGTATTAAAACAAATAATAAAAAATAAAAGTAAGAGTATTATCTGGTGCTATTACCCTTCTATGTCTAAAGAACAAAGCTGATTATAGCTTTAATATCAGTTATATATTAATACAGTTTTTTCAAAGTATAGTGTACAAACTATTGATTTTAGGTGGCACATGTCCAAACTTTGAAAATTTGAATTACATATCAGAAAGGGACACAGAACATAAAGACTCCTAACTCTGGGAAACGAACTAAGGGTGGTGGTGAATGGGTGATGGGCACTGAGGGGGACACTTGACGGGATGAGCACTGGGTGTTATTCTGTATGTTGGTAAATTGAACACCAATAAAAATTAATTTATTAAAAAAAAGAAAATTTGAATTACATCCTTAATTTAATGTGAATTAAAAATATAATTAATCAGGGGAGCCTGGATGGCTTAGTTGGTTAAGCAAACTCTTGATTTCAGCTCAGGTCATGATCTCAGAGTCCTGGGATCAAGCCCCATGTCAAGCTCTGAGCTCAGGGTGGAGTCTGCTTGAGACTCACTCTCTCTCTCTCTCTCTCTCTCTCTCTCTCTCTCTCTTCCTCTGCAGCCCCACCACTCCTGGCCGCTTATACATATGCTTGCTTTCTAAATAGGTAAATAAATAAGTAAAATCTTTCTAAAAACCATATAATTAGCTCATAACATTTATGATTTCATGGATATTATTGCTCAGGAGGATGTTAGATAAAAAGAAAGTGAGGTGTTTACTACTGATTTTAAGAAAATGAGTAAATTGTGCTTGCTTCGGCAGCACGTACACTAAAAAAAAAAGAAAATGAGTAAATAAATACTCTCATAGATAATATGCAGATATAGTAAAAGTTGTGAAGGTGGCATGTAAATAGCTGAAGTTTTGGAAATACCGACCTGATATATTTGATAAGTGGATATTTTCTGAACCAGTGCAGAAATTTGAACCTCACTGGTCCTTAGTTATACAGCTCAATTAATAATATGATCTGGGGCAGCCCAGGTGGCTCAGCGGTTTAGCACCACCTTCGGCCCAGGGTGTGATCCTGGAGACCCAGGATCGAGTCCCATGTCGGGCTCCCTGCATGGAGCCTGCTTCTCCCTCTGCCTTGGTCTGTTCCTCTCTCTCTCTCTCTCTCTCTCTCTCTCTCTCTCTCTCTCTCTCCCATGAATAAATAAATAAAATCTTTAAAAATAATAATATGATCTGTTAAATTTCTTAATTATAGCTGTACAAAACAGTTGGTAAAAAATGCTTCATCATTTTAGCATATCTGCAGTCTTCATGAATTGTCAAAAAATTGAAGGGAGTTAGAAAGTAGCCAACCTGGTTGAGCAAGCCACTGAGATGCACTGGCAGATGCTCAACCATTGAGCCACCCAGGTGCCCCTGTTATTTAACATAGTACTTTGGCTTGCGTTGTGATTCCAGGGTCCTGGGTTCGAGTCCCGCATCAGGCTTCCCACAGGGAGCCTGCTTCTCCTTCTGCCTATGTCTCTACCTCTCTCTGTGTGTCTCTCATGAATAAATGAATAAAATATTTTTTTTAAAAAAAAAGAATCATGGAGAGAATAGAGGCACCTGGGTGGCTCAGTCAGTTGAGTGACCAACCTGATTTTGGCTCAGGTCATGATCTCAGGGTCACAGGATCCGCCCATTATGGTCTCTGCACTCAGTGTGGAACTTGCTTGGGATTCTCTGCCTCTGCCCCTTCCCTGGCTTGCTCTCTCTCTCTAAAATAAACAAATAAATCTAAAAAAAAAAAGAAGAGTCATAAAGATGATGAATCATCCCAGAGTAAGCACTATATAGTTCTACTCAACCTGCTTCACCCAGACACTGATATCTTTGAAAGGTGGGGAGGGGTGGTATGAGGAAAGGGTGAAGAAGAGAACAGGACCATAAACATCATCTAGGTCAATGGTCATTAATGTATCATGAAGTGTGTCAATGGCCGTTTAAAAATGACCATACTGGCAGTTTCTTTTGAGGAATCCATTCTTGGAAGGATATAATTTTTATTATGGAGAAAATTCACAAAGGTGTTTATCATAAAGGTATTTATGATAAGAATTGCAAGCAATCTAACAAAAGGGAAAGGTTAAGCAAATTATAGTATAGTACTCCCTCCCTTATCTGTGGTTTTGCTTTCCGTGGTTTCAGTTATCTGCCATCAACCATCACCAGAAGCAGATGTTCTTCCTTCTGACACTTCGTCATATGCCTGCATCATTCACCTCTCTTACTCTCCTCACATAGGCTTTTTACTGGCTCAAATCACCACAAGAAGAAGAACGGTGAGTATGGTACAGGCATATCTCATTTTATTGTCATCACTTTATTGCACTTTACAGATACTGATGTTTTTGCTATCTGAAGGCTTAAGGCACCCTGAGTCAAGCAAGTCTGTTGGCACAGTTTTTCCAATAGCATTTGCTCACTTTGTGTCTCTGTGTCACATTTTGGTAATTCTCTCAATGTTTCAAACTTTGTCATTATCATTGCGTTTGTTATGGTGATCTGTGATGAGTGATTACAACTTACTGAAAGCTCAGATGATGATTAGCATTTTCCAGTAATAAAGTATTTTTTCAGCAAGGTATGTACATTTTTTAGGCATAATGCTATTGCACACTTAATAGACTATAGTGTAAAAATAACTTTTATATGCACTGGGAAACCAAAAAGTTTATTTGACTCGTTTTATTGCAATATTTGCTTTAATATGGTAGTCTAAAACTGAACCCAAAATATCTTCAAGTTATACCTGTACAGTAAGATATTTTGAGAGAGACCACATTCACATGTTTTATTAACAGTATGTTGTTGTAACTGTTTTATTTTATTGTTGTTGTTAATCTCTTCCTGTGCTTAATTTATAAATTAAACTTGATGTATGTATGTATAGGAAAAAATATGGTATATATAGGTTTCAATATGGCTTCAGGCATCTGTGGTCTTGAATGTATCCCCTAAGGATGGGGGAGGGGAACTACTGTATATCTGTAAGACAAGATGAATAATAATACCAGCGTAGAAAATGCTAAGTGAGGGGCATCTGGATGACTCAGTCAATTAAGCATCTGCCTTCAGCTCAGGTCATGATCTGAGGGTGCTGGGATCAAGCCCTGCATTAGGCTCCCTGCTCTGGAGACCTACTTCTCCCTGCTTGTGCTCTCTCTTGCTATCTTTATTTGTCTCTCTCAAATAAATAAATAAAATATTTTTTTAAATTCAGAGTCAAAAACAGATTCAGGGTCAATGAACTATTATACTTACAATTATGTAATACATATAAAATATAGATATAGGGAACCCTGGGTGGCGCAGCGGTTTAGCGCCTGCCTTTGGCCCAGGGCGCGATCCTGGAGACCCGGGATCGAATCCCACGTCGGGCTCCCGGTGCATGGAGCCTGCTTCTCCCTCTACCTATGTCTCTGCCTCTCTCTCTCTCTCTGTGACTATCATAAATAAATAAAAATTAAAAAAAAAGATGTGAAAAAACAAACAGAAAATAGGTCATTTAAAAAAAATAAAATATAGATATAGATAGATATAAATTCACAAATATTCTAAAAGTGGTTATTGTCTTACAGTGATTAATTTTTCATTTTCTTTTTTCTATGTCTGTATATATATTTTTACCCTAACTTTTTATAACATACTTATATATTACTTTTTGACAAAACTAATAGAATGTGTTAAATAAAACTATGCTGCTATATAGTAACTACAACTGTGCAGTCTTTGGAAGATAAATCTTACCTTTATTTACCTGGCATACAAATAACTAGCTATTTGAAAAAGAGAGGATTGAGTCTCAGTGCTAGAGTGAATGAACATTGGAGAGTCAGAAAACATAGAAACACCAACTGAAATACTATCAGTTGATTTTTCTTGCATAAATTGCTTCTGTCTAAGCCATAGTTTTTACTGCAGTCAACGTATACTTCTATTTTGAAGAAAGGAAGAAAGAAGGGAAAGAGGAATGGGAATTTTACTTGATATGTATGCTAATAGTTTCCTAATTTGTTTCTCATTCTCTTGAATTCCCATAACCTGGATTCATACATTTATACATATACGTGTTGTATTTACATTCATTTTTGCCGTATCTTTGCACATATTATTGTACCTCAAAGTATATCATGTCATTGGCTTGGCCAGAAAATATGGCTTAGAATCTTAACCCTAGCGCATCTAGTTACTGTGGTACATTCTCCACTAGTGCATTATAAACACTAGAAAATATGCAGAGTCTTCAATAAAAGTCTTGTCTGTTCATATTTTTTTTTCTTTTCTATAAAAAAAATTCTTAGAGGGAATCCCTGGGTGGCTCAGCGGTTTAGCGCTGCCTTCAGCCCAGGGCATGATCCTGGAGATCCGGGATCGAGACCCGCATGGGGCTCCCTGCACAGAGCCTGCTTCTCCCTCTGCCTGTGTCTCTGCCTCTCTCTCTCTCTCTCTTTCTCTCTCTGTGTGTCTTTCATGAATAAATAAATAAAATCTTTTTAAAAAAATGCTTAGAGGGATCCCTGGGTGGCACAGCGGTTTGGCGCCTGCCTTTGGCTCAGGGCGCCATCCTGGAGACCTGGGATCGAATCCCACATCGGGCTCCCTGCATGGAGCCTGCTTCTCCCTCTGCCTGTGTCTCTGCCTCTCTCTCTCTCTCTGTGATGACTATCATAAATAAATTTTAAAAAAAAATGCTTAGAGCCTCATTATATGTCCTTTTATTTGACCATTTCTTTGAAATAACTTAATCTCTGGTTAAAGCTTGGCTGCTATCAGTCATCATTTTCCAAGATAACTATATTCCTACCCAGAAATTTGCTTCCCTAAATCATGTACCGAGTTAGTGTGAGGGATAATAAAATGTGAGTGAATAGCACCTCTTCTGAGATATTAATCAGGTCTGATTCACATCTCCAAAAGTTGCAGATTATTTAATAAGAAACATCTGAAGCCTTTTGGGCCCAGATTCCCTGCCACCCCACCTCCCCTATTCCCCAGTGGGCAAGAGAGCCTGGGAGGACACCAGGAATTAGGTGGAGCTTCTTTTTTTTTAAGGTTTTACTTATGTATTAATGACAGAGTGAAAGAGAGACAGAGGGAGAAGCAGGTTCCACGCAAGGATGTGGGACTTCCTTCAGCTCAGTGCGTGGTCCCCACTCCGGGATCACACCCTGAGCCAAAGGCAAACACTCAAACTCAACCACTGAGCCACCCAGGCATCCCTAGGTGGAGCTTCTAAAGGCCCAGCTTGTCAGCAGCTGAGAAGCAGACAGAAACACCCCTCCCCAATTAATTCCAGGCTGCAGGCTCCAGCCTTTTTAGATGTACAAAGCACTTCATCTTTGTAGCTCTCCTTAGGAATTTCTTGAGACATATTCTTTAAATATATTTTCACTTAATAAAATGACCTCTCATTACTTAATTCAAATCCAGAGGTCACTTTTTAGACTTCATCTTTCTTTTTACAATTTTGACACTGTTGACTTCTGCAAATTTTCTTTTTTGGTTTCCATATCCCCGTGCATTTCTGACTTTTCTCCTACTTCTCTGGCTACAGTTCCCTTTTATATTTTCTTTCTCTGCCTACTTCATTTACTACATTCTGCTCTCTGCTTCCTCTTTCTCTTGCTGCATATTCACATTGGATGAGTGCCCGTTGCTGCACTTATACCAGGTTACACTAAGGGCCCTGTGTTTCTTCATCCAGAGTTCCGGACTCTTACATCCAAGTGTAAACATCTATTACTAAATCTCTCTATTCTGCATCCCACAGGCATCTCACATATAACATTTTCAACAGTAGACCCATTTACCACCTCCATCAGTATTTTTTTACATTGATATCTGGCACTAAAAGCCATGTACTTGCTAAAGCTCAACACGTGGGGCTCTCTACACCCCTTATTTCTTTACCAACAATGTCTAATCAATTTTAAAGTTACATTGATTTCATAAATATCTTTGAGAACTACCCATATCTATTAATTCTTGGCTTAGGCCCTCAACATCTCAAGGCATATCCTGATATCCTCTAACCTTTGTCCTGTTGGATTAGACATTTCCTAGGACCCAGAGGATTCTTCTACCCCAGAACATTTTGCAGTAACCATTTGGAAAAGTAAGATATGTCTTCTATCTGAATTCCCATTTCCTAGCCCAGTGCACGACACATTGTAGATAACTAATATGAATTTGCTAAATAAAAATTTCTTGGATTCCTATTTTTCTGCCCTATTTCTTTTGTTTAAATGAGACTTAGCACTACCTAAAGCTCCCTAGCTCACAAAGGACATAATTTTCCCCCGGAATAAATAAAAAAATAAATCCATCAACTCAACACTTGAAGAATTGCATCCACTTCTCCACACATGTATAATGATATCTACTCCACTAGAGACAGTAGGAGGTTGAGACATTTAAGAGGCTCTGGGCCTTGGCAAATGCCTCTTCTAATTTGGTATTGTTTTTTTTTTTAAAAAAAATCCAGAATTTTTGCTCCATTTAAATATATATAAGGATTCCCAAAAGGAATACTATATATTCTGTATTAACAGTCTCACATTTTAAAGCAGCTTGTCCGTAGCATGGCCTAGTTTTTGCTTTTGTGCTATTATGTTATTTTTGCTCCATTTAAATATATATAAGGATTCCCAAAAGGAATACTATATATTCTGTATTAACAGTCTCACATTTTAAAGCAGCTTGTCCGTAGCATGGCCTAGTTTTTGCTTTTGTGCTATTATGTTATTTTTTTTTTAAGTTTTTACTGTCTAGTCAAAAAAGAAAAAAAGATCTATTCTAGGCTACTTTTATCAAGTATAAGTGCTATCCTATGATACAGGATGCTTTTGCTCTGATAAATTGATTACCCCTGTTAGAGTCAGTTTTGTCCTTTCTTTTTCTTGCTACAAGACTTATATACATTTTTTAATTTAATAGTCATTACAGTGAGTCAGGTACTATTATCAGCAGTATTTGCTCAATAAATGGTAATAATTATTTCCATTTCTTTGCTACGTTGTCATTAGCATGACTTCATTATTCTACCTCATTTCTATATACTTCCTCCATCTCTAATTCTAGTTGTTTACTACAACTATGCCATTTGTCCAATAATAGCTCTTTTGAGTGAGATGACATACCTGCCAGACAAGATTTTCCTTATCTGTGTCTACAGTAGCTGCAGATGTGTCTGCTCTTCAATGTACCTTCCTGATGTAAATGAATAGCTCCAGAGGAGGTTCTGGCCCTACTCCAGTCTCTTCCATCCTTCTACATTTAC